ATTTCCTAGTTAGTATTTAATAAAAATATTAAGTATTAAATTTATAAAACTTGCGCGTGCTTTAAAGTCTTTTTTTTAATATATATTATTTTATTATTAATAAAAAGTCTATGCTTAGGTTGCTATACATGTAATAAATTAATTAATACTATTATAAAGTATTTCCTACTATTAATAATAACTTTAAAAAAATTAGTTTTATTTTTACAAAAAGTTTTTACTAATTACTACTTATTATACAGCGCCTGTTATTTTATAATTAATTATTAAAAAATATTAATAAGGTTCACGCACGCCATTTATATTATTTATTTAATATTACTATTAAGCTTAATATTATTTAGTAGTAGGATAAAAGTAATTTATATATAAAAGCCTTTAAAATTGCTTTATAAAACCTTTATTATAATAAGGTAATAAAAAATAATTAAAAACTTTTTTTATTATATATATAATTAATTTATAATAGCAAGAATAGTTTTAAAAATATATTATATATATATTATAAAAAAGCTTAAATTTTTACCTAGAATTACAATGTGTTACAAGATCTAAACTATATAGTTTTAATTATTAATACTATATATAAAGGTAAGGATATAAAAACTATATTAACTAAAAATATAAGTAATTTATATTTTACTTTATACCTTTATATAGGCGCCTGTGTTATATTAATAAAAAATTATTAAGTTAAAGCTAGCCTAGTAAATAAATCTTTAGGCACTATTATTAATATTAACTAATTACCTAATTTTAATTTATATATAAATCTCCCGGGCGCTATTTATATTAAGTTTAATAAGTATACTAGGCCAGGCGTTATTATTAATAATAAGAATTATATTATACCTATTTATTTTTTAAAGCAAGAGTTTACTAGGGTAAATATAACCTATTACTACACCTAGTTTTTTTTAAATTTTATATATACTATTACTATTTATAAGGCACAGGGAATAACTATTAATAAAGTAATTTTAAATATATTAAAAAAAAACTTTTTACTAGGTTTAATATATATAATAATCTCTTGTGTTAAGATACTAAATAAAATTTTATTTAAAAAGCCTTTTAACTATAATTAGTTTAAGCCTTAAGAGTTAAAGGCTAGTAATATAACTTTAATATACTTAGTAAATATTAAGCACAGGGCTACTTAATATATATATATACTTTATTTACTAAAATATTTAGCTAACTAATTTAATTATAATATTTTTTAGCTTTTAAGCTTAAGCCTTTTATAATTAAGTTACCTAAACCTTAATATAAAATTAGTTTACTTATTTACTTATTTTTTTTTACTTTTAATTATTTTTTTTATATCACGGCTGGTTATTTTTACTTGGTTTTTATTAATTAAATAGCTTGCTTAAATATTTAAAAATTAAATAAAGCTATAAATAAATATAAAAAACCTAATATTATAAAGTTATACTAAGTTTTTAATTTATAAATTTTTTAAATATTAAAATAGTACTTTTTAATTTTTTTTTGTAATTTTAAGTACAAGGCTATTTTAAATATATTTTAAATAATAGCTTTTTATTAGCTTAAAGCGACTAGTTTAAATAAGCAAGAATTAATACTTTTTTTAAGTATATTAAATTTTTATATATAAAATTAAAATTTAAAAATTTAATACTTTTTAAAGGTTTTTGCCGCCGCACTAGCCTAATTAAAAAGTAGTAAATTAACCTTTTAACTTTACCTAATTTAATTAACCTATAAAAGAAAATTTATATAATTATACCCAGGTTTAAACCCGGGACCTCCTGGTTTTTAAAAATTTTTTAAAAAGTAATTTTTAGCCTAGTTTTAGCTTATTTAAGCCTGGAAAAAAAAATAAGTGCTTTTTTAATAAAAATAAATACTTAGTACTTTTTAAAGGCTTTAGGTATTTATATAAGGCTTTTTAAAGCCTAAAATAAGCTAAAATTATTTTTTAAAGGTTAAATTAGGTTATTATAATACTAGCACGTGATTATTAAGTTAAAGGGTTATATAAGTTATTATTTACCTAATAAAATAACCTTTATTTTTTAAGGGATTAAACTAAAGTACTGCAACTACTTAGCACGCGGGCTACAGGGTATTTTACTATCCTGCTATAATACCTAATTTAGTAAATAATAAAATAAGGCTGGCCTTATGCACTCCTAGCCTTAATTATAAGTTTTTTTAATAAATAAAATATAAAAGTGCGCCTAAAATTTACTATAATAATAATATACTTAATATATTATAATATATTATAAAACTTGTTTTTTTTAGTATTATTCTTGCTATATATTATTAAATTATTATTAGTAAATCTAATCCTGCGCTTTAGCTATATAAATAATTTTTATTTTAATTATATAAGTAACTTTTTTTATATAAATTATAAATTTTTAGTAAAAAATATTTATGGTATACTAGCCTAGGGGGAATAAAATAAGATAGCCTTTATATTTAAAAAATTAAAAATATCATATATTACCTAAAAATAATATAGTAAATTACCCTTACTAGTAATTAATAACTAGTTAATAATTACTTTTATTACCATAGTACTAGGCTAAAAATAGCCTATATTATATTAGCTAAGTATTTTTTTAATAAATAGCTTTTTTAATATTAATATATTATTAAGTAAGTAGCTAAAGCCCGCGTGGTAGCCTAATATATTTATAATTTAATATATTTAATATATAGTTTATTTATAAACTTTTTTTATAAAATAATTATTATTTATATTATTCCTAGCTTTTTATATAATATAAAAGCATGGTATAATAATAAAACTAAGCCTGGGAGGCATGCATAAAATTTAAAGGTTAATATTTAATTAAGCTAATATATTAAAATAATTAAAAAAACCCTAGCTTTAGCCACCCGGTGTGTACTTTTAATTTTTTAAATAATATTTATAATAACCCTTTTTAAAAATGCTAGGCTTTTTTTATAATAATAATATTAAAAAAAGTATAACTATAATTTACCCTAAGGCTTTAGCTAGTAAATAACTAAAATTTATTAATAACATAGGTAATATTATTAAAAATCTTATAAAATTAAGGCGCTAGCTTGTGCTAAAAACTTAAAACTAAAATATAAATTATAAAAGTACTTTTTTTAAATATTTTAAGGCTAGTTTTAGTGTATTTTTATTATTTTTAAAAATATTTAAAATTCTTTATTAAAGGTAAGGCCAAGAAGCTAGCTATAAAAAAGTTTAAATAATAATAATATATATTATTAATAATAAAAATAGTAATTTTTAGTAATAGTTTTAAGTAAATATATTAAAAAGTTTATTATATAAGCTATAATTTTATAATATATTATAAATAACACCTTTAAGTATAAAAACTATTAATAATTAGCACCTAGTTTTATATATATAAGATTAAAGCTATTAGCACGCTTTAAAAACTAAAAGTAATAATTAAAAAGCTTTTTAAAGCTTTTATTTACTAACTCTATATAAATAATATCTTGGTAATTTAGTATATATATAAATAACCCTTATTATTTTTTAACTAGGCTTTTTAAATATTATATTAACTTATAAATTAATATATAATTTACTTATAATAGTTCCCTGGCTATATAAATATTAAAGATAATAAGCTAGCTAATAAGCTAGTTAATAAAATAACTTTTATAAAAGCATAGCCCTTAAATACTAACTTTTTAAAAGTATAACTTACTATAAGTAAAATATATAACCTATATAAATAAATATACTAGGCTACCTAAGGTAAGTAATCAAAAGGCATTTTTATAAAATTATTAACCTAGTATAAATAATAACTTATTATAAAATTAAAGTTATATTAAATTAAATTATATTTTAAGCTTATACTAAGGTACTTAATTTTATATTACTAGCTAGTATTAAAATTATTATATAATAACTTTAAGTAATACTATAAATATTTTTAATATAAAAATATAAAGCTTACTTACTTTTATAAAATAAATAAAAGCCTTAAATATTTATTTTTTATTAATATATTAAAAAGTAGTTTTTATAATAACCCTAGCACTTAATAATATTTTTAATAAATAAGGTTAAAACCTTAAAATACTTTTATAAGCTAGAGCCTAAAAACTTTATATTTTTATTTAAAATTATAAACTTTTATTAATTTATTTACCCCTGCTAAAAATCCTAACTTTTAACTTATTAAAAATATTTAAGCTAGGCACCTAATAATTTTTTAGCTTTTTTTTTATTTTATTATATATTTTTTTTTTTGTTTTAAACACCCTTTTTTCGCGTAATTAACTTTAAATATATATTTTTTTATAAAGGGGCTAGCCCCTGTATTTTATAGTATTTAAATTATTAAATATATAATAAATAATACTTACTAATAATTATATATAAAAATAATAAGTAAAAAATAGGTATATTACTTATAAGCTTTAGTAAAAGTTACCCTTTAAAATAAAAACCCTTTTTATATATAAACTTATTTAATTAAGTTACTTACCCTGCGGCGGCATGCCCTTATACCCTAAAAAAGGTCTAGAATATTAGGCGTACGCCTAGCGATCCCCGGGGCGTTAAATATCACTACTACTACTACTACTTGCTAATTATGTTATCCGTGGATAAGGGACGATTACAATGTCTCCTGGACCGAACCGACTTAGTTTTTAGGATTGTATAATTACCTAGGCTGAACCTGGGCCTTAGAATATGACACTGTATAGGGGGCCTTACTTCAATTGGATGAGAAGCGTCAAAGAAAGTATTATAAATATTAGAAAGTCAGGCATGGTAAATGTATCACCACGCCATCGAAAAGAACGTAAGTAGATATGTAGGGCCAAGTAACTATCAGACAAGCAAAGACCCGACAGCCATCATCGACACAGCCCTGACCAAGATAGAAGAAAGCGGACGCAGCCGAACAATAAAGCGAAGAAATGGCCACCACCGCACCTGCGCAAATGCAAGGCTACCGTAGTAGTCTAGCCTTAAGCCTCCCGGGAAGATGATCTTATTCCCGGTAGCGCTCCTTCTTCTTCACATCCTCCTTCTTCTCACCCTTCCTCTCATCCTCCTTCTCCTCGCCCTCTTTCATCTCGACCCCCTCAACACGATACTCCTTCTTCTCCCCCTCCTTCTTCTCGCCCTCCCTCATCCCCCCCTCAGCACCATGCTTCTTCTTCCCATATCCACGCCGACAAGTCGAAACCCTCCACTCATAATCACAGACGCCAAGCTCAGCGCTATAGGCTGTGTGCGGTCCGCAGGTCTTTCGCACAGGGGTACCGCCGGCCGCGCACTCGTAGAAGCGGTGGCAGTCGTGATGGTCGGGCCAGGTGGCGCCGACGTGGCAGGTTGGGTCGGTGGGGGCTGCGGTGCTCGTTGCGATGAGCAGCGAGGCGGCGAGGAGGGTGAGTGTGTTGATGGGGAGCTGCATTTTGATCTAGGGCGAAGTAAGGTTAGGAGGGGGATTATATGGTACCCTAGGTGGGTGGGGTGCGGTGGGGACGTACTTGCGGATTAGAATTATGGATAAACTTTGGAAATATAGGACAGTGATGAATTGTACCTAGGTAAGTTGATAAGCAAGAAGATTGCTTTTGATGTCGCTGGTGCTGTTGGTCGGTGAAGAGGTGATACTTGAGGCCGCGAGACTGGCCCATTTATAGACGAGACGAGACGATCTATGAACTACCTGTCTAGGTAATTTGTTGATGGTTATAGAGCCCGCTGAGCTGAAGAACAGCCCCTTGCAGACACCTGCCTAGCAACAGCGCAGGAGCATGCCATTAGCCCTAATACATTCCTTGTACCTAGGCAAGGTAGCATCGGCAGAATCTGGGGAATCTGGGGTATTTAAATACAAACATCCTGATTGGGTAATGGTTTCTATGCAAGTTAACATGCTTGAAGAAAACATCCTAGAATCAAGAGCACCATACGCCCCAGGGAGACTACGGTGATTGTACCTGTACCAGGTTCAGCATTCTCCCTCCTGACAGACAATGGCCTTCACCTGGGTAGCATTCTTGACCCTATTTAGGCTGCAGCGAAGCCACGAGTTCTCAATGCTTTCTGGATTCGGGAACATATTTTGATTCTTCTCTATAGGATGTGTTTGGAGGAGGGTCCCTATGGAACATGGGACCTAATCTACCTACCATAGTACGGTTATAAGAAAGGTAAAGTTAGCAGGGGATGCCGGAGAAAGTATCTGTCCATATACGCTCGTCCTACCGTGTACTACAGTCTCGAAGGCTGGAAGGGATGAATTGACCGGGATGGTTGAATGTCAAAAAGCTACCATAGGAACAAGACCAGGAATAGGCACCTGTCCCAATGAGCTTCATATGGCTACCAGTATCCATTATCAATACCATACCTCTAGACACAATATCAATATGATGAACTCATCTATGTTAGACTATACGGACTGTGGGACCTATTGCAAGTTGGATTCATGATCTAGCGCCTCTACATAATCATATATCTCCCACTATACCATAACCCTCTTCCCTACAAAGTCACTGCCTACTCAATACAACGACGGCATCCCCGGCGCCTTCCCAAGCCCCCCAGCCCGACCATTCTCCTCCCCGTCCACCAACTCCCTCAACACCTCCCCCGGCGTCTTCCTAGCGGGCGCAATCTCGCGCACCTCCGGACTCGTCGTCTCCACCCTACACTCCCCCCTCCACGACGCCTCCATAGCATACCGAATAGAACCAACAACATTCCTCGACTCACTAGTCATCGCCAAAATCACCTCATCCACAACCGACATATCCTGATACACCACATTCTCCTTCCTCACAGCCTCCCCAATAACCTCCCCAACCAGTCCCACAATCTCCTTGCCGGTGATATCCACAGGCCCATTAAACACGTACTTCTTCCCGTGATGCACCGCCGTCTCAGGACACGCAAGCAGGTGCGCCGCGAAAACGCCCACCTCACCCGGGTCGATTATGGCAGAGCCAACGTCCTCCGCCGCCATGAGTCTCAGCGCAAGGCTATCCTGGCTTCCTGTCGAACGGAACTCGTTGATGTACCCCGCTGCCGCGGAGAGGAAGAACGGCGCGAATGCGTTGGGCTGCAGGCTTGTCCAGTGCATCCTGCTCCTTGCGAACGCCTTAGAGCACAGCATGTTCTCGATGGCCCAGTGCATGCGTGCGTAGTAGACGGGGCTATCGGGTCGGACGTTCGGGGCGCTCGTGGACACGCGCACGATGTACTCAACGTCTGCGTGGAGGGCTGCAATGAGCAGAGCTGATTCCTCGGCGAAGAGGGTGGTGTTGATGTGTGGGGCGATGAAGATGCGGGTTACGTTGTGGGTGCGCAGCCAGGAAGTGGTGAGTTCGGGCCAGGGGTGCTCGAGGACTTGGATGGCGGGGTTGGCGAGGAGGGATTGCGAGGCTGCGGAGGTGAGGGAGCGGGTTAGGGCGAGGATGCGGTGGGTGGAGTGGTTGGTGCTGGTGCGGAGGAGCGAGGGGAGGGTGGTGGTTACGCCGCGGCCCGTGTTGCCGGTTGCGCCGATGAGGAGGATTGTTGGGGGGTTTGGTGTTTGCATGGTGAGTTGAGGTGGTGAGACTTGTGTTGATGATGAGAGGGAATTGTATCCAGAACTACGTGGACTTTATACCCTGGTTCTCCTATCCTAACTATGGCATGGTAATCTAGCCCTAAGTCAGCAGTGGGATCTCCGGGTGGGATCTCCGGCCATGATGGCGCCATTCCACGATATTCGCATGGGGATCATTAATCAGACAACGGGTCATGGCTAATTGGCCATTCCATAAGCATTGATTTCATGATTATAAATCCAGCTAGCAGCCTTGGGGGCCGCGAGTCCCACCTGCACCTACGGACATCCCACCACATCCCAACCGTATCAAACAGTCAGACCTCATGGCCTCAGAGCAATACAAGTGTACCTCTCCAGGCTGTACAGCCAGCTACCAGCGCAAAAGCCACCTAAACCGCCATAAAGCTCAACATGTCGCGCAACAGCCTTTCCAGTGCACAGTCTGCCCTCGGTCGTTTCGGCGGAAGTACGTTGAGCGCACAGCGGTGTCAATCACCTGGACTGTCCATTCCTAACACTGAATAGTGACACCCTACGTCGACACATGCGCCTGAGCCATTCCGATAAACCGGCGCCTCCCACGCGCCAGGCCTGTTCAAGCTGCCGAACCCTAAAAAACCGCTGTGAGCGACCGTCCAATTCCAGCTGCACCGGATGTCTGCGCCGCGGACTGCATTGTTCCCTCGTCGATGAGACTAGTCTCGACATATCTCAAGCCATCACCAGTAGGCCCAGCGGCCCCGAGAAAATCCAGCACTTCCTCAACCTGTACTTTGACATATTCAGCCCGCATTGGCCGTTCATCCACCGCGCATCGTTCACCATGAACCAGAGCAACGAGAGCCCGCTGCTCGTGCAGTCGATGCTGGTTATCGGGATGTGGGTGGCCGATACCGCCAGTATACGGGCTGCGGCGGTGGAACTGCATGGGAAGCTTGGTGAGGCGATATCCGAGCAGAGGGTATGTGATTTCTTATCACCTTGGCTATTCATAAAACAAGCGATGTTAACGAGAACATTATAGAAAAAATGGGACTTATCAGCCGCCTCGGGCTCACCGGGAACCACCCCGCAAGCGAACCCTAAATTCCCGCTCCCCATGTACCAGGCGATCCTGCTCCACATCATCTTCACCCTCCTCCACAAGGGAAACGGTGGGAGCGAAGCCGAAAGCAAGATGTCTCTCGCCCTGGACCTGACCTTGGCCTTGAAATCATCACCGCTCACCGCGCGCGATCTCACCCTCTCCCTCCTTTCCTCCCTAGTCCAGAGCTGCCGACGGCTCGGCATGTTCCACTACCCTTCCATCCTTACAGTGTGCCGTGAGTCCCCAGACGAACATACGTTCCTGCCGCACGCTTGGGTGAGCGTTGAAGAGGTGAAGCGGTTCAATGTTGCGCTGTGGAGGGTTTGTCGGGCGATAAGTGGACGGTCGTGGGCGTGTCCACCCACGGGTAGGACAGATGCAGGAGCAGGAGCAGGAGCAGCTGGAGGAGGTGTGGATGGAAGGCAAGGAAACGCGAAGTGGGAGCTCCGCGCGGCAGAGCTGCGGTTCCCCTTGCCGACGAATGATGCGATGTGGGCTGCGCAGACTTGGGAAGAGTGGGATTCTGCTGTTGCGCGGGGCAGGGACGAAGATGTGGATGTGGATGCGGATGTGCTGGGTTTGGGAGATTACAGGGAGGACGAATGGATTTCGGTGGCTGCGGGGATGCTGGAGCTGTTGGGTTGATTTTGCTCTGTTTGGAGCTGAAGCGTGACTGCGGGTGCATGTGTGCTTTCCATCTATCAGACGGTTTCTCATCGAAGCCCGTACTGTCCCGTCACAGGAGCAGCAAGATGGATCTGGGCATATAATTCTACCTATCTACCAGAGCAGCCTCATCTCGACGTCATATTTCACTGTCCAAGTGGCCATGGCCATCCAATATCCATAGGGAATTGCTATTCTCACGGTAACTTTCCTATTCTCACGGTAATTAGCGCCCTCTGGCCGCGCTCGCGCGGCCGCTAGCCGTATTTATACTAGTAAGTGGAAAGGCTGTTACTAAGCCTATTTAGGCTCCGCCTATTAATTCTGCCGGGTAGAAAACTTAGCGCGTATTAATATTATTAATATTTTTAAATTTTAATCTTTTATACAAAAATTAATATTTTAAACTTAACTAAATACAGGCAAGTTCTAACTTTTAGGTAGCCGCGTATATTAACTAATAAAAATATATTATTTAAAATATAAATCCCTACTCCTTTTACTACGCTACACTTAACTATAAACGCTTGCTTTAATAAAAAATTTTAACACCTTTTTTACCCCCCTTTTTAACCAGTTAATTTATGTATTTAAACTTAAATAGATCTTGCTTAATAAAGTTTTTTAGTTAATTTAAAGCCCCTTAAGGCCTTTCCTTTTATTATTTTTTTAGTAAAGGATAAATATAAAGGTATTAAAAATATATAAAAAGTTTAAATTTTAAAATTAAAAGCTACTAGTTATAAAACTTCTTAAGGGCAAGGCTTTAGTTATTATAAAGTACTTTTTAAATTTAATAAATACAGGGAAGTCCAAGGCTTTACTTGTAAATACTTATATAATACTTAATTAATTTATTAAGGCGCTTTAGTAAATAAAAATTTATTATTTTAATTACCTTTTACATGGTGTATATAAAAACCTTTATAATAATATTTTTAAAAAAAAAATACTTATATTAAGGCGGAGGCCTTAAAATATTATTAGCATGTTAATATTAAGCCTTTATATTTTAAGCCTTAATAATATTATTAATAAAAGTTATTATATAAATTAGCTCGCTTTGGGATAACTTTAAATCTTTTTTTAATTAATAATAAAATAACTTTACCTAAGAGGTTAATAGCTAGCTAAAATATGGATAGGTATTAATATAATAAGCTAAAAAAAACTTTTTAATATTTTTTTAAAGCTATTTTTTTTTAATATACTATAAAAGATTTTTATATATAAGCTACCTATATATTTTTTTAAAGGCCCTTTATTAGCTTTTAAAAAAAGTTTTTATTAAAAATTATATAACTTAAAACTATAATTATAGTATTATAGTTTACTACTTATTAACCCTTTAACTTTATTTTTTATTATTTAAATTAAAAGTATTTTAAAGTATAATTAATATAGCCCGCTTTACTTAGCTAAGGATTTTTTAGTTAATATGCTAAATATAAAAAATTTAATTAATTATAAAAAAAATAATATTAAGCGCCTTAATAAGAGCCTTATTTTTATTAATAATAGTAACCCTAGGTATTTTAAGGCCTTTTTATATATAAAAATTATAAAGTTATTATAGTATCCAGGTATATAATAACTTGGTTTTATTTTTTATAAAGTTATATATAATAATAAAGGTTTTATTACACGCGGTAACTCCAGTAATTATATAAAAAGGTAGGAGGTACTAGTTTATTTTATAGGTATAGTTAATAATAATTATAAAGGGGTTTTATTTAAGTTACTTAATTAAGGTTAAATAGGCCAGGAATACGCAAGTTAGTTTTTTTTTAAAGTTTATTTTATGCCTTATAAAGCTACCCTTTTATTAAGGTAGCTAGTTAATAAGCGCTTTAATTAATATTTTATTATTTAAAAACTAATATTAAAACTTATTTTAAAGGTTATAAAAATTTTTAATTTTTAAAGGGCAAGGCTTCTTTATACACTTTAAATAATTTATAATATATTAAAAATAGCAACTAGCTTCACTAAACATAAGGCTAAAAAATTTTTTTTTATAGGCTTTAATATACTTTTTATGCTGGTTAAAAATAAAAAAGTTCTTAGTTTACTTATAATTATAAAAGTTATAAATAACTTTAAGTACTGTAGTTGGGGTCTAGCGCCTAATAATAACTTTAAATAAATAGTTAATTTAGTAAAACCTAGCACTTTAAGGCTTTAAAGGTAAAGTAAGCTTAAAAAAAGGGTTTTTTTTTAGTGTAGGCACTGCTTCACGGTGGTATTTAAAATTAATAAAATTAACTTTTTTATAATATTTAAAATACTTGCTAGTGCTTTATTTAAGGACCACAAAGCTATTAATTCTTATAAAAAACTTAAAATAAGCCTTTACTTTTTTTATAAAGTTAAAAACCTTTTTAAAGCTATTTTTAAGCTCCAAAATTCCATTATATTAATTTTTAATTTTAAAGTTATATTTATTAATAAAAGGCTTACTAGGGGATTTATTTCCTAGATTACTAAATAAATAAATAAAACTAGTATTTAATACCTAATCTAAAAATAAAATTTTATTAAAATTAGACTTTATGGTATTAAGTTCTTATTTTATATAAACTATAACTTTATAAAGTTTAAAAATATTTTTATAGTGTTAAGCTTGGCTATAGGGCTACTAGTATTAATTAGGCCTAGTTTATGGCTATAAAGTGGCAGGCTGTAAAGCTAGTATAAATATAGCTAGTGGCGGTAGCAAGCGCGGCCAGGGGGCGCTAATTACCGTGAGATTAGCAAAGTTACCGTGAGAATAGCAATTCCCTATCCATATAGCATGCTTAGTTCAAGATAATGCACCCCTACCATACCCCGTAGTACGGCAACTCCCCAATCAAGTAAACCCCCATGCCCTGTTCTATATAAGGTTGCAAGGCTTTTGAACTGCACTCTAAAGAGACTTCTGCTTGCTTGATCAATAAGAAGGGTGTCGGTTTACCTTTTAAAAAGGCATGTAAACTACCAAGTACCCTCCAGCTTTATAATTTCACGCTGGACTTGCGATCTCAACTTGCAGCGGCCAGTTCTAAAGGCAAAGGCAAAGGCAAAGGCAAAGGCAAAGGCAAAGGCAAAGGGCAAAGTGGAACAACGCTTCTATCAAGCCATTGGCGGCCATTCAAGACAAAGCTGTGCGAGCCTCCTGGGAACAAAGAAAAGGGTGAAGCTGGCTCTTCCACGTCCGGATGAGAGTACACGGCTCACACTCCGCTATAGAACATCACGATAGTCATAGAGTTGGAGTCTGTTATGCCAGAGAAGTTAGAGAATAAGAGCAACCTATTCCTGTTGTTCCAGCCCTCAAGCGCCTTTGCAGCTACAGTACGGTTGTCGTTTACAGTGGATGAGGCAATTGTCACGGGGCCGGGTAGCTAGGTTCTTCAGCAGTGCAGCTGCTGACCAGGAATTGATGATTTATAATGTGTACTCGACCCCATACCCTCGGGAAGATCACCGGGAAGACGGGCCTTGCAAACGGTTGAGTCATTGTTGTCTCCAATTTGGAGAAGTGGGCCTTCCCCAATTTTCTCATCAGGATTTTCTCGCCCCTGGAATGAGCCATCTGGCAAGAATCACAATATGCTCAATGAGAAGGATTATAAGTTGATTCAAATAATAGAGCTAACTTCATTGATATGGAAGACTCGAAAGCAACAGAGATCCTGGTGTATGTATTCCTATAAACTTGTCGACTGACGTGCCGATCACGGCCATCTCCAATTTTCAGGACGGAGTCGTCCCCGATTCTCCCCAAACTCCATTTTCATTTATAAACCGCACTCACGCCCAACTCCCAAAATGGATCCAGACACCTTCAGACTATCTCACCGTCTCGCTCGCTCTCCCTGCCGGAGCTCGAAGTCCTTCGACCACGACCACACCGGTGAACTGCCAGCTCGCCCGCCATGGCCACCCACTCGAGCGCTTCGAGCTCCACGCAGATAGAGCCCAGCCCACCGCTGCACTCACAGACGCCTAGTATTCTCGAATACGACCCCGAGAAGAAACCACACCCCGAACCCACCAACGACGCCTCCTCCCTCGAAATCGAACACCTCTACCTGGACCTCGACACGCCCCTCCCAACCCCCTGGATCNCCCCCTTCCTGTGGCCCAAATGGCGCAAGTCCATGATGACCTGGATCTCCTGCGGCGTCACCGCGCTGGCAGGGTACTCCGCCGGCGAAATCACGCCCGCATCCACCGAGCTCACAGCAGACTGGGACATCAGCCCCGTGGTATACAACCTCGGCATCACGCTGTTCTGCGTGGGCTTCGCGCTGGCGCCGATGGTGCTCGCCCCGTTCTCCGAGATCAACGGACGGCGGCCGATTTTCGTCGCCAGCGGGATCCTTTTCGTCGCGTGTATTCTTGCCTGTGGCGGGACGCGTCTCTTCGCTGGGTTCCTGGTCGCGCGGTTCTTTCAGGGCGTGGGGGCCTCGACGTTCAGCACGATGGTTGGCGGTGTCATCAGCGATATCTACCACGCGCACGAGCGCAATACGCCCATGGCGCTGTTTGCGGCGGCTGCGCTCTTCGGGACCGGTCTGGCGCCGTTGCTCTCGAGTGTGATTGTTTGGCATGTCTCGTGGCGCTGGATTTACTGGTCTCATGCGATTGTGTCGGGCGTGTTTGTGCTGATTATTTTCTTCTTCTTTAAGGAGACGAGGGGCAGTGTGCTGCTTAGTCGCAAGGCGCACGCGATCAATAGGTACTACGAGCAGCTTGAGGGCGCAGGACACTACGGTGTGCTGATGGGCGGGGAGAAGGAGCTGCGGCGGATTCGGTGGAAGGTCGAGAGCGACGAGCAGAGGGCCAGTCTGGCCCAGATGATTAGCATCTCGGTGTACCGGCCGTTCCACATGCTCGTCACCGAGCCCGTTGTCTTCTTCTTCTCGCTCTGGGTCTCGTTTTCGTGGGCCGTGCTGTATCTGCAGTTTGGGTCGATTCCGCTTGTCTTTAAGACGAACCATGGGTTTAATGTTGAGCAGACGGGGGCGGTTTTTACTTGTATGTCTTTCCCAACCTTCCCCTTCTCATACACGGTACAAGTATATACTAACAAGGAACAGCAATGTGCGTCGGCGCCCTCGTCATCACAGTCATATCAATCTACCAGGAGAAAATCGCCAACCGCTTCAACCTCCTCCCGCCCACCCCCGAAGCACGCCTCTACTTCGTCTGCTTCGAGGCCGCCCTCATGCCCATCGGCCTCTTCTGGTTCGGCTGGTCCTCCTTCTCGCACGTCCACTGGATCGTCCCCTCCATCGCGATCGGCGTGTCGACGATGGGGATCTTCTCCGTGTACCTTGCTGTCTTCAACTATCTCGCTGATACATACCACCGGTACGCGAGCTCGGCGATCGCGGCGCAGAGCTGTTGCCGGAATCTGCTGGGTGGTGTGTTCCCGCTTGTGACGAACGCCATGTTTAATAACCTGGGCTTTCCTGAGGCGAGTAGCCTGCTTGGGGCGATTGGGGCGGCGCTGTGTCTTGTGCCGTGGGTGTTGGCGTTTTATGGCGAGAGGATAAGGGCGAAGAGTCGGTTGGCGAGTCAGCTTGCTAAGTAGGCTGCTTTCTGGTTTTGTCTCTTGTTCCGGGGAGAATTCCTTATGGTTGTTGTTGTTATGGTTATGACTATGATTTATGGCCATGACTTATGCATTGAACGTATGGGACGTCTAGATTTGGATGGAATGCTTTCGTCAAAATTCTTATAGACGTGGATCGGCTGTATTATCCTAATGATATAGACCATAGAATAGATTTAATAGAATTGTATATATCTGCATCGATTGCTGTATATCGTTTCATCTCTCTCTGATTACCCGTATGCTTCCCGGGGGCGTCGATCAGGCTACGCCGCCATACCATATCTAAAGCCTAAATGTGCCTCCAGCAGAGAAGAGGACATATGTGACTCATAGTGAAGCATAGCAATATCCTCGTCGTTTGGCTGTACTTGTTCCCAATTCCGGTCTATGTATAGGGCTGAGATGACGCTGCGAGTGGAGCGCAGTACGTACGTTGGCCCACTTGTGGCGATCTTCACCTCGGCAACATTGAACAGATTTCCATAAAATCTATATTGCATGAGCTGTAGACATATGGGGCTTTCCCAGGTAAGTGATGCTGTGCTAGGCCCTGGACTCGAACAGTAAAGCTCTCGTCGACATACCTCCAGGCTACCTATAGACTCTCTCAAGTTTGCTACCATACCTAACCTATGGCAACGGGGCAACGGCACGGCAGAAATTCGGCACAGCACTCGGAACTCGGAAATAGCAACCAGATCAGGGGTAGTCCAGCACTGTGGCAGTGACAGGCAGCCTCATTCCGGTCTCAAGCTTCGTGCAAGCGATGCTAAGAAGCCCAAGCCTTGAGCTGCCAAGTAAATAGCATATCCACCTGTCCTCCGTCTCGGAATTGCTTTGCAATTCGGTTGGTGCGGATTACGGCGCCAGTATAGGGCTGCGGATACCCCCATAGCTAAGCCACGTTGCGACGCCACGGGTGACTCTTGAGGTTGCTGGAGCCTACCGGTTCATGAGCCTGGACTGGGTATTTAAGGATCGATCCCCGAGATCTTCAATCTTACCTTTACCTCATACGAATTATCCCCTGTCTCTCTCCCATCACAATGGGCCTCTTCTCTCACCACCACCATCACAACGAACAGCCTCCCCCTCCAGGGCCTCCAGGAGGCGGACCACCAGGTCCTCATCACGGTCCCGGTCCCCACGGTCCCCCAGGACCTCATGGCCCTGAGCCTCCCCACCATCACGGCCACCACCACCATCACCATCAACATCCCGGCCCTGGCGGGCCTCCTCCCCAACCACCAGGCGGAATAAACGGCCCCAACGGACCCTGGGGCTACGGGAACCCTGCATTCGCGGGACCGCGCGGCGATCGACCTCCTAGTCCGCGTGGACCGCCGGGTCCTCCTCCTCCTGGTCCCCATGGGCCTCCTCACCATCACCACCATCACGAACGAGGACCTGGTTTTGAGCCTGGCCCTCCTCCTGGCCCTCCTCCTTACGAACGGGGTCCTGGGTTTGAGGGCGGTCCGCACCATAGAGGGCCGGGGTTTGAGCCTGGGCCGCCGGGGCCTCACGGGCCGGGTCACTTTGGCCATGGACCTGGGCATGGACCTGGACCTGGACCGCATGGTCATGGACCTGGACATCACGGGCATGGGCCGCGACCTGGGTGGTGAACTCGTTGACACTACCATACCAAGCGTTGAGAAGATGGCGACGCTGTGAACGATTTCCGATGCACTCTCACAATAAGTTGGAGGCTCGCGCGAGCTAGCGGGATATATCGTTGCATGTATAAGCGGGATGTTTTGGGCTTTTGGTTTTATTTGTTGTTCATTGTACATTATGGTTGCTCTATTGGTTCTGCGGAATACCCAAATTAGAAACATATATCGCCTAAGGTTCGGGCATATCAACATATTTTCTTGCTCTTGGTAGGTTGCATCATGTGAATGCTGGGTTCTCTGGAGTCAAAGAACCTGAATTGTAGTACTCGATAGCCAGGGGACTTGAAACCGGTAACTTGGGGCTTGGATTTGGTGAAGGTAAAGAGAACTTCAACCAGTGACAAATACATATACAAAGACGAGTATTTGAATTGGAATCAAAGGTCATTTGAACTAGATAGCCTAATGGGATTCTAATACTGTCCCAGCAGGCATTATCACATCATGTCACATCATATATATGCGTGGTCATTATCGTCATTACCAACCCGATCCATCTCATCTATCTCAACAACCCCAACTCCGCCCCTGACCACTGTACATTCATATATCATATCCAACCAAGTCATCACTCATAACGTGCCATCTACAAAACATACCGAAAACTCGGAATCTCCAAATCCGTCTTATTCGACAACCCCTCCGCCACCTCCTCGCTCTCCGTGAACTGCCCGGGCAGGCCATACAGCCTATCCCGCCGCTTATTCTCCCAGGCATAGTAAACCAGCAGAAGGATGATGAAGAAGACGCCGAAGGAGAGACCCGACACCGCGGCCGTCATGCCAGTCTGCACATTGGAACCCAAGTCAGCACTCTGCATCCAAATAAAACCCACCTAGGTAGTTAGGGTTAGGCCAGACATACCGGATACGCCGGCTCCTCACTCTCATAGAAGAACTGCGGGCCCGCAATATTCCCAACACAGTACCCGATAAACATCATCGCGCTCGTCAGACTGCGCTTCGTGAACCCCGCCACATTCGAGCTAATCAGGCTCATGGACAGCGGCATGTTCGCCGCGAATGCGGATGTCAGCGCCAGGCCTGCGACGCGCGCCTCCGCGTGCGCGTCGTCCAGCTTCCAGACCATTGTCATCCCCGCGACGGCGGCGCACGTGTTGAAGATCATGCATGCGCACCGTGTGTTCTTGAAGTACGTTGCTATTCCGGTGGTCAGGAAGATGAAGACGAGCTGCGAGGCGCCCGAGGGCATTTGCATTAGCAGGGAGCGCACGCGCCCGTATCCGAAGCCGTTGATGATTATGCCGGAGAACTACCGCCGCTATTAGCTCCCTAGGTACTATAGGTCCTAAGGTTGGATGGGGAGGAGAGGGGAGCGTACGCTTGTGATTCCCCCGTTACACAGATTCGTCGAGACGGAGTACAGGAAGAACAGCCACGTCTGCGGGTCCTTGAAGGTCATGAGGGCGTGGTCCCAGCGCCAGCGGCCGGTGTCGTTGACGCCGGTTTTGTTCTTCAGTGTGCGTTGGAGGGCGATGGCGCGCTCGGTCTTGTTGAGGAAGATGGCTTTCTGTGGCTTGGATGGGATGATGAGGAAGATGGGGACTGCGAGGGCGGCGGTTATGGTTCCCAGGACGAGGAAGAGGAGCTGCCAGTTTGTGATTGTTGTTATGTGCACGTTGCCGATTCCGTAGGCGATCAGGCCGCTGATCAGGTTGGAGATGGCGTTGCCGAGGAACCAGGCTGCTTGTCTGCTCACTCTTGTTAGTACGTGACGGGGAAAGAGGTCGGGGCGGGATGGGTGGGTACCGTGCAGGCTGCTCCTCGCGCTTGTAGAACATGCCGATGACGAGTGCAAAGCCCGGGCCGATGGCTGCTTCGCCGACGCCCAGGAAGAAGCGTACGGTCATCAGCCCGGCGAAGTCCTTGGTTGCGGCGTGGCACATAAGCACCGCGGCCCAGACGAGGCTGTTGTCTAGTCAGTACGTCCTTTCCTAACGACATGGTATAGAGACAGCATACACAGTAACGCCAATGTACTTCCCCAGCGGCAGCCGCACCATCAAGTACGAGCTCATCCAGCTCCAGGCGAAGTACCCGAAGTAGAAGATCGTCGACGCCCACGAGTACTCCTGCCCGTGCAGGTTGAGGTCCTCGCGCAGGTTGAGCAGCGTCGCTTGGCTAAGGGCGATCTTGTCCATGTACTGCATGCAGTAGACCAGGCCCATGATGGGGATGAGGCTGTGGGGGTCAGACGGCAATACTAAGTTGGGAGGGAAGGGAGGCGCACGCAAAGTCCAGCTTTCTGATGACCCTTCGCTCTTCTTCGGGCGTGTAGTGTACCTCGAGCATCTCGCCGACGTCGACATCGCGGACGATGGTGGTCTCTGCTTCGGACTTGATGTCTAGGCCTGGTGCAGGGATTGGCCCAGGGCCCGATGGTTTCTCCATTGTGAGGCGGAGATTGTGAAAATGACTGAAGTGGGAACAAAGAAGATCTGTCGAGAATGCAGGACAGGGCAGGGAGATGCAGATGCATTTATAGCCCAAGCTAGATCAAAAGTTTCAATCTTATCTGATGGGACTGTCTATCCACGCCATATGCCATGCAACCCCCGCTTCCCCTCCTGATAGTACTACTCTACTACAAAATATCATCCGATAACGGCCTCGCCTCGCTTGGAGACTGTTGCATCAGTGGCGGATGCAGGCTTGGCCCTGGAAAAGAGAGCGCCGATCCAACTATCTCTCCTATCAAGTCGCTGGGGTGGCGTGAGACGGCAGAGCTTGGGATAGCTTGCGTTAGGGCTGGCTCGGCATGCTGCTCTCCATGCCCTTCTGCAGTCCAGGCCAACGAACTGCCCATGAGAACGGAATAATGTCTTATCTCGGGACTTGTCGCGGCATTAGATCATCTGGCAGGATTAGAGTTATCTGGTTAAGGTTGTTGCTCCTTGCTATCTTGCTTCATGTTGAATTGGTCTTACGCTATCTAGGTACACCCGTGGCGCTGGTTACTCCAACTCGTATACAGTAGAAAGTACCCCGACCAACGATAAGGGCTGTCTCCAACCCTCCCGAGGTCAACTAGAACCGTCGGCTGATCGTCCACTATCTTTTGACTCCTCTGTTCTCCGCACTTATCTCTGTCCCCACGGACGTTTGCTCATTGGACCTCGTCTAAGTTAGCCGAGCTGTTGAGCTTTATCGTCGTTGCTGTATAATAGCTTCATTCTGATTGCTTTGCTGGTGAGTCTTCTAGATACCGAGTTTACTGCCGTGGATATGTGATGGTTTGAGCCAAGTGCTCTATAAAACCGCCTCATTATCCGTCTTTTGCAGGAACATCTGCCGTCCTCATAGCACCAGGGACTGAGATGCCGTGCTTGATCCCGCAAAGCTCTTGGATTCTGACATCATAGCTCGCCAATTGACTCGTGTGTGCCATACTGTCGAAATTTTATTGGATTTTGTTTGAAAAGCATTCAATATGACGGATCTGCTGTGCGGTCCGATGTACGGGGCTTCCCACGTGGGGGATTGCGGGGGATATACCTACGTAGAGTATGGAAAAAGTATCACTTTGCACAGTACAGTACGGCACCCCACTGACTGGAAGACTCTGTCAGGTATTTGCTGTCCTGTCAAGTTGAACATGGACAATCAACAACTCTGATTTCGCAAGTCCCCTTCATAAACCAGCATATACCCTTTATGTACATAACTGGCTAGATGATTCAGCTCCGCCTCGGCTCTTTGTGCTCTCCGCGGGCAAGCAACGACCTGAACTCCTCCAGCTTCCCCTCCCAATCACACACTCCACTGTCCCGCCACCCTGATCGGCCCAAATCGTTCTCTATTCTGGACCCTCTGGCCGCCGCTACACATGTAAACGGCAGTTGACTCCTCCCATGACCGGTCGACATGCTCCTCGCTCGAAGAATGGTACCGTGAGCTCCCCGGCTCCCCGCGGGAAACTTAGCGCAGTCCTGCTAACCTCTGCTTTTTTTTTTAGGATGCAGCACGTGTCGTCGTCGAAAAGTAAAGTGTGGGGAAGAGCGTCCAATCTGTAGACGATGCTCCGCCCTGGATATCCCCTGCGAATGGGGCGCTGTCATCACGCGAGGGAGATCGCTCCCCCCTGTCCATATCCAACCCCGACAGACGACCCCGACAACCCCGGTGACGCCCATCGCGCTCGAGCAATCCGTGTACGACTTTGATACCACACCGCTGGACCCTCAGCTCAGCCAGACTCTATGCCCGGAAACCGCATACACCAGAATATGGGGTCCGACCCCGCTATACCCGTCGCTATCGGAGACTGATGTCGCGTGCTCGAACTCGTTGATGCTCTCGGAGCAGGACCGGACATACTTCCAGTACTTCCCGTCGTCGTCGCTGGTGTTCTACTACATCAAGCCGTCCGCTTGGAGCTGGTTCAGTTATCTGTACCGGGAACCAGCTGCAGCCAGCAAGGTCATCATGCGCATGATCCTCGCGCTGTCTGCGAACGACATGCACCGCAACGGGCTTGTCGCTCGGTCGCCTGGTCGCCCTACGGCAGAGGATCACGCGCGCTACCACTATGGGCTGGCAGTGAAGGAATTCCGACACCTCCTGGAAGCGCGCAAGGGCAGTATCTCGCGGGATGAGTTGGAGATTATCTTTGCGACTATGTTCCTGATGATATCGTACGAATGGCAGTTCGGACAGTCTGTTCAGGATCTCCAGCTTCACCTGCGCGGCGTACGCTCGCTACTACAAGCGCAGCCTATGCTCTTCGAGGGGAAAGATGTGGATGAGGTGCTGATGTCGATGGACATGGCCGAAACGGACTCGATGCCGAGAGTGTCGTTCATTCCGGAGCAACTGCTCCTTTGGATCATGTATGCTCTAGCCTGTTATATGCACAATCTATGCTGACGGACTAGATACATTGACTCCGGCTGCCAGTCAATGGGCGCAACGGAATCCCTCACGGAATACGTGCTGCAATCAGGGAACCCATCTATACATCCAGACCGGCTCTACCGCTGCGCCCGTCTATGGGGCCGGTGTTTCTGGGGCACCCAGTACCCTGACCCAGAGGTGTCAGATGATATGGAGAACTACCGTGCTCTAGAACTCCTCCATGCGGGAATGACTCTTCGCTACAAAATCTGGCAAGCCCTGTCCGACGACCCCGTACAGACGAGTCACCAAGCAGAGCTGCTTCGGAAGGAGATCATGACCACTCGCGAGGTATGTTTCCCAATCCTTGCTAGTCTGATCTAACATTCGCAGCAATTCTCCGACATTTTCGTAACCGCCAAGTTCGCCGGACCCGCGTCCACGCGCCGCACTCTCAGCACCATCAATATGGCCGTCGGCACCTTCTACGCACAAGTTCTGTTCCATCGACGACTCTTATACCCTCCAGGACCGCCGTTGGCATTCCACCGCGTCGCCGTTGCCAACATTGTCGAGATCGCGCAGAAGCAATACGCGGCAGACCCGCGCCTTCTCCGGCGAATACATTGGCCGCTGCTGATGGCGGTCATTGAAACTGAAGATGTTTCCCAACGAGAGTGGTTGCGCGAGAATCTGCTTGGCCTGCGTGGGTTCCATTCTGAGTACGCTTGGGCTAGTGATCTGGCGGAGGAGATCCTGTCTCGTCAGGACCTGAGCCAGGGTAGATACGCGGATGTAGCCAGTTTACTGCGTCAGCGTGCGTCTGGTTGAATGGGGCTGGGAACTGGATGCAGATCCTGGCTGCGCTAGCTAAGAGACTAACCCCTGCTCGCAGCTTATGCAGGGTAATCAGCACGGTCTCACAGCTGATAGCCCCTTTCCTTCTCACTGGCCGATGCATCCGATAAGGACGAGCACGATCCTGCCTGATAAGCCAGACCCCCATCCACGGGCATGATATAATCTTGGTTACTCCAACTGCAGGGGCATCTATCGGACTCGAACACCATCACCAAAAACGATATCACCATCGTACTATACCGCCAAGATGTCAATCCAAGCAGCCTGGGAGGCATGCGATAAGACAGACACCCTCTTCATCCTCGTCTGTTCTGTCTTCTGCTGGCTCATCATCCCCGCCGTCGGCCTCGCCTACTCCGGCTACTCAACCCGCTTCAACAGCCTCGCCTCGTTCTACCCCGGCCTCCTCGCCGTCGCCGTATGCTCGCTACAATGGTGGATGATCGGCTACTCCCTAGCCTACAGCGATGGCAACGCCTTCATCGGCGACCTCTCAAAGGCATTCCACCGCAACGTCCTGGCAACCCCCATCGGCACAATCCCCGAAATCCTCTTCTCCGAATTCCAGCTCATCTTCTGCGCAACCGTCTGCGCCATCGCCATCGGCGGCGCCTGCGAGCGCGGCCGCCTCCTCCCCCTCATCCCATTCATCTTCGTGCGTCCCCTTCCCTCGCTTACAAATCCCCCTAACAACCATACCTACGGCAGCTCTGGAGCACCTTCATCTACGCACCCCTCGCACACATGGTGTGGTCGGAAAACGGATTCCTGGCCCGCCTCGGCGCCCTCGACTTCGCCGGCGGCACACCCGTGCACATCTGCAGCGGCGCCACAGCCACCGCAATGAGTCTGTACCTCTCCTACCCGCTCTTCCGATCGCGTCGGTCCCCAAAGCGCACGCCGCAGCATCTCCGCCTGCACAAGCCGCACAATACCCTGTGTCAGCTGCTCGCGCTCATCATAATCTGGAACGCGTGGCTGGCCTTCGACGCGGGGACAACGCTGCAACTGAACTTCAAGAGCGTCATGGCCGCGTGCGTGACGAATCTGTGCGCCGCCTCGGGCGCGCTGGCGTGGGCGGGCTTGACGTACGCGGAATCAGGAAAGTTCAGTCTGGATAGTACGTTCCTCGGCGCGATCGCGGGGCTCGTCCTCATTACGCCGAGCGCCGGGTTCATCGACCTCAATACGTCCGTTGCGTTTGGGGTTGTCGGCGCTCTTGCGGGTCGACAGGCGCTGCGGATTAAGTTTACGAAGGGCGCGGCGCTGCGGCGGTGGGTTGATAACGGGGATACGTTTGCGACGCACTGTCTGGGTGGCTTTTTGGGCACGGTTGCGACGGGCTTGTTTGCGCGCCGCGAGGTCGCGGCTTATGATGGGGTTACTGTTATCGAGGGGGGCTGTGTCTTTGATGGGAATTGGGCCCAGTTGGGGGTTCAGGTTGTTGAGGCGCTCGTTGGGTTTGTCTGGAGCTTTTGTGGGAGTTATGTGCTTTATGCGCTTGTGGATTGTGTGCCTGGGTTGGAGGTTTTGGCTACGGATGAGTGAGTCCCGGCTTTTTTTACTGTGATTGTGATGGTTTGGTGTTGGCTAACGTTTTAGGGATATTATTGCCGGGATGGATGAATCGCAGATGGGCGAGTCGCTGCACGAGGCGCAGTGGGCTGGCGAAGAGGATTACCACCCTTTTCACTCGGGTATCCAACTTTAACCAACTGAAACGCAGTGTATGCTTTTGTATCTACAAACATAGCATCAATCAAGGTCTATCTCATGTCGCCTAGTTGAAAACAACCGTCTTGTGCCCGTTCAGCAGAACCCTCCGCTCGGCAAAGTACTTGACCGCGGCCGCCAGAACATTGCTCTCGACGTTACTTCCGGCGTGCGTCAACTCCTTGGGACTCAAAGCATGCCCAACCCGCACAACATTCTGCTCGATAATCGGACCCTCGTCCAGATCGCTCGTGACAAAGTGCGCCGTCGCACCAACCAGCTTCACACCGCGGTCATACGCCTGGTGGTAGGGCTTGGCGCCCTTGAAACTCGGCAGGAAGGAGTGGTGGATGTTGATGATTTTGCCGGACATGGCCTCGCACAGCGTCGGCGACAGAACCTGCATGTACCGCGCCAGCACGACCAGCTCGATATCGTACTCCTTGATCAGCTCCAGGATGCGGGATTCCTGCGCCTGCTTTGTGTCGGCGCTCACGGGGAGGTGCATGAAGGGGATCTTGTAGGTTGCGGCGAGCGTCTCGAAATCAGGGTGGTTGGAGACGATCAGCGGGATCTCGATGGCGAGCTGGCCCGTTGATTGCCGGAAGAGCAGGTCGTTGAGGCAGTGGCCGATCTTGGACACCATTATCAGCACGCGTGGCTTGTGGGCGGCGGGGAGGAGGCTGAAGGTCATGGAGTGGGTTGTGGCGATGGGCGTGAAGGCTTCGCGGAGGGTCTCGAGGGAGGGGGGCGTCGCGTCGCTGGAGGAGGCGGTCGTCGTGTCGGCGCCGAAGTGCATGCGCATGAAGAAGCGGTGGCTCGTGGGGTCGCCGTATTGCGAGGAGTCGATGATGTTCAGGTTGTGGCTGACTAGGAAGCCGGTCACCGCGCTGACGATGCCCGGGCGGTCGGGGCAGGAGAGGGTGAGGATGAAGCTCATGTTGAAGAGAAGGGCTATTTCGGCCTGTGTTGAAGCAATTGAGCTGCTGGGGATGCGCGGTGAGGAGGGAGAGAGCGGATGAGGGGCGTTTTGAGTCACTGGAAAATCGCGGGAATCCTGACCGAGCTCGGAGGCCGAACGTCACGTGTTATTGATGTCCCGCTTGATGCTGAGTCAGGATCTGGCCTGATAAGATAAGGCGGATAACGATAAGGGCTCATCCCGAATAGATAGCCAGGGCTTAGGGTACGTTGCTAGGGCAAGCTGCTAGGGCTGCCGAGGTTATGGCACCACCTCATCCTTGCTTGTGACCCTGACCTGATTCTTCAGCCTCCGGAGCCCAGACGGAGCACTCGCCGGGGAACGGGGTGCGTCTTGCCTGCAGCATTAATCTCGGTTCCTGCTGGGGCCACCATTGTCCTGCAGGCTGACTGCTTCCCCGCATCGGCATTGCATTGTGATTGGCATGACGCTCGGGTATTGTGCCCTCGAGTCGAATGACATCCTGCAGGCCATGCACGATATAGTATGCTCAATCTAATACATCATATGCTGCACTGCCATTGTCTTCAGTCGCCTCATCTGGTACGGCACTTGCTGACGAGATCTTGGACGGACTCACGGCGTGCCCATTTCGTCAAGGGTCCGTTGAGTCCGGCTTCTCCGCCATGTCTGAATGGCTTCATGCGGTAACTGATGCGGTAGACGGACCGGGGCGCCGTGTTGGCTTGCGCTTGACGAGACGAGATACAGCTCCAGTCAGGTATAAAAGCCTCATCTGCGACCGTCCGTCCTACCATGAGCACAACCAGCATCAAACGCAGCAATGGCCTCTTCATTCGCAATGTACAAGGCTCTCCTCTTCTTCTCCTCGCTGCTCTCCGCAGTGCAGGCCCAGCAAGTCGGCACTCAGCAGGCCGAAGTCCACCCCAGCCTGACCTGGCAGACCTGCACCGACTCCGGCTGCACGACCGTCAACGGCGAGGTCACCATCGATGCCAACTGGCGCTGGCTGCACACGGTCGACGGCTGGACCAACTGCTACACCGGCAATGAATGGGACACCTCCATCTGCACGAGCAACGAAGTCTGCGCCGAGCGCTGCGCCGTCGACGGTGCCAACTACGCCGCAACCTACGGCGCCACCACCTCCGGCAGTGCCCTGCGCCTCAACTTCGTCACCCAGTCCCAGCAGAAGAACATCGGCTCCCGCCTCTACCTCATGGACGACGAGGACACCTACACCATGTTCTACCTGCTCAACCGCGAATTCACCTTTGACGTCGACGTCTCCGAGCTCCCCTGCGGCCTCAACGGCGCCGTTTACTTCGTCTCCATGGACGCGGACGGCGGCAAATCGCGATACCCCACCAACGAGGCCGGCGCCAAATACGGCACGGGCTACTGCGACTCGCAGTGCCCTCGCGATCTAAAGTTCATCAACGGCGTCGCGAACGTCGAAGGCTGGGACGCGTCCGAGACGAACCCCAACGGCGGTGTCGGCAACCACGGCTCCTGCTGCGCGGAGATGGACATCTGGGAAGCCAACTCCATTTCCACCGCTTACACCCCGCACCCCTGCGACACCCCCGGCCAGACTATCTGCGATGGCGACTCTTGCGGCGGAACCTACAGCAACGACCGCTACGCCGGCACCTGCGACCCAGACGGATGCGACTTCAACCCCTTCCGCCAGGGCAACAAGACCTTCTACGGCCCCGGGCTGACCGTCGACACCAACAGCCCCGTGACGGTCGTAACGCAGTTCCTAACAGACGACGGGACCGACACCGGAACCCTCTCCGAAATCAAGCGCTTCTACGTGCAGAACGGCAACGTGATCCCGAACTCGGAGTCCACATTCCCCTCAAACCCAGGAAACAGCATTACCACCGAATTCTGCGAGTCCCAGAAGACCCTCTTCGACGACACCGACGTCTTCACCCCCCACGGCGGAATGGCAGGCATGGGCGCTGCCCTGGAGCAGGGCATGGTCCTCGTCCTGTCCCTATGGGACGACAACTACGCCAACATGCTCTGGCTTGACTCGAACTACCCAACAACCGAGGACCCCACCAAGCCCGGCGTTGCGCGCGGAACGTGCCCAACTGACTCTGGGGTCCCGTCTGAAGTCGAGGCCGAGCACCCCGATGCGTACGTCGTGTACTCGAACATCAAGTTTGGGCCGATTGGGTCTACCTTTGACGAGGATGGGTCCGGGCCTAGTCCCACGAACACCGTGACCAGCTCTGCTACTAGCACGACTAGCGGCCCGACGACGACGGCTACGGGCGGTGGCCAGGCGCAGCGGTGGGAGCAGTGCGGTGGGAGCGGGTGGAATGGCCCGACTTCTTGCGTGAGTCCGTGGACCTGTACGGCTGTGAACCAGTGGTACTCGCAGTGTCTGTAGACTGCGACCCTACCATAGGCACTGAGACGCAGCTTGCGATGAGTATGAGATATGATTAGGTACTTAGCCACGAGGGTCTTCGAGGAGGTTGTTAGCTATGGTAGGTAGTTAGCGGTGGAAACCAGGGGAGATTGCCAGTCTTGTCAATTGAATGCTTTACTCTATCGTTCTCGGTCTATGCAGTTTCCAAACCCTAGTTTTTCCGAGGTTTTCCGTCCATCCCCCCTTATTCTTCGCCGTGTCAAAGGATCAGGCACATGCACAGTATGTTAGCTACTATAGTGCCTCGCCTAGCCCTAGGTGCGGATGGTATGTTACCCGGCATAATAATTCTCGGCACGACACCCAACAGGCAGCACAGCCCCATCAAAACCTGAAATAATCTATGCACCCTGCAAGGAGCAATTCGTTTCCACCAATCGGCCTCGGTCTGCAAGCGAGTCTTCACCCCTGCCCCTGCGGCTGTCTTGCCTTCCTTCCTGAACTTCCACGGCGCCGATCCGGGCAGTCCCGGATCACTCCAATCAAGCCCCAAAGGGTCCTGGTTCGTCCGTCTCCGGCCCGCCTGTAGAGGTGCGCATGACTTGCAGGGTTGGCCTGGCTAGCTACCGGAAGCGCCACTCCCAGCATCAGAACCTTGCTTACATTTGCTAATCCCGGAGTTATACACCCCTAGGCAAGATATGTCCGTACCTATTTGGGTTGGGTCCGGGGGATGGCCTGGGTGATGTTGGGTGTCATGTGGATGCAGGATTATTCTCGCCTAGCCCTACCCGACTCTTGGGAGAAGGACCCTTAGGTGGAATAGGTGGGTGCTAGCCCAGCCAGGCCAGCCTTGACATCGATCTGGAACACCGGGGCACATGCGCTGGAGGGTGCAATAATATCCACTAATAAGCTGTGCTACACAGCTGGCGTTGAGGTTGTGATATCCAGCCCTGGAGGTAGAATATCGACGATCCATACAACTCCGTCAATCCATACAGGATCCCTCGAGAGATCATCCGCCGTCTAACCAACCTCAAGCACAGCTCCGGACGGCCGCCAAGATGCTGTCTTCGGCATGATGGGATCGCGAAGGGCTCGGATTGAATTGCGTGGGAGGATAGGCCGAAACCGCCGCCGCCCTCGCCTTCATGATATGGTATTGGTCTTGGCCTCTGATGTCTCCGGCACAACAGACTCTGACTCCATGACTACCGTGGTGTGCAATATGGTTGAGCCTGTCATGAGTATAGAATATTTGCTGTAAGCGCGTCTGCGTTCATGCGAGAATATACTATGGAGTAGTTCAAACAGCGGCCCAGTAAATAACATCCTACGCAAAAACGCTTGAGGACTGGCTAGGTACAACAGGAATGGCTCGCTTGTCGTTCCCTTTCATTATAGGAGGAATCACGGCAAACGAGTCTCTTTTGACATACAGCTTCAATTCGAATTCAAGCTATCCATATCTCTCTTTGGACTAAGGACTATTCCGTCGGCCCATGTTGAATAGTACCGGTGCAAGTTTCTCCTCGTGTATGTATCCCCCTGGAATCCGGGCGCACACTGTGCAAGAATACCCTATTTAAACTCAACAGATCGAACATAGGAGCCCTTCATAGAAGTAGTCTGCGCCGTCACTGGTGTAATGCCTTCTTAAAGTGTATTAAACACAAGGCCTATGGGGGGCAAACGTCTTGTGGCATTTCTAACGCGCGTCAAGTCAAAGTTAGCAAGCAGGCCCCAGTTTCCGGCCTGGATTCCCAGCCGGCATCCTCAGGGTAAGAACTCGGGCTTGTGGTGTGGACTCACGTCTTTGGGCTTGGGCTTGGGCTTGGGCTTGGGCCTCGGGGCGTTTTTATTACAAGGCGTACCAAACGAATTCTCCTTCCAGCATTTCTAACCCCGCGTCAAGTCATAGTTAGCAAGCAGGCCCCGGTCTCCGAGCTTGGATTCTCAGCCGGCATCTTGAAGGTTGCTCAAGCTATGTAACTCAGACTTGTGGTGTAGACTTACGCCTTGACGCTTGGTCAGAGCGGTGTTCTCTGCTCGCGCGTCCAAACCGTTCTCGTTCCGCTCGAGGATAGAGGACTCAGCTGCTCGGGCTTCAACGGCCGCAACCGGAGCTGACCTCGAGTTGAACTCGACGGCGCGGACATTGACGGAGTTTCCCTGCGGGTTGACGGGACTGCCTGCTGCTCCGAGCACGGCGGAGAGAATGAGGCCTGCTGAGGCGAGGGAGAGGAGTTGCATTGCGGCAGCAGAGGCTTAAGTTGAGATTGCTTTGATGTTCGAAGGATTTCAAAGATTTTTGAGAATGAGCTTTTGAGCTGATGGGTCGTTGACAGATGGAATTGCTGTGTCCAGGAGGGGCTTTTTATACCTGATACCCTAGTGAGAAGTGATCCTAGCTACCAGCAACTCGATGAGTTGAGAACTCAATGGAGCACGAGCCCTGCTGTTCTTCATTTTCCAAAAAAGGGAACAACTCGTCGAATCTATCGCGGCCGGGATGTGCGTTTGTAAATCAAGGTTGTCTGTTCGGAATCAGACCATATAGTTCCGTGGTTAATGCAGCAGAGAGCAAATGCGCAGTGATGCTGGCCGCGGATCAAACGGTTGTGTTACCGTACGATTCCAACGACCAAGCGGGCCTTCGTCCGGGAAAGCATAGCAAGTCACCACCAACAGCATTCCGCTACTAATGGATACTATAAATTGAATGGATTGATCGCACCCCTGGCTGATGCATACCTAGGAATAACCGCGCCAAGGTTGCCCATACAAGCCATGCTGCAGATGCCGCCTGCGGCAAGCCCTAAACATGCGGCACAGGATAGGTACCTCCAGGGCTATGGTTTGTACCTCCAGGCTGCACCGAGTGATTTGCAAACAAACTCGCAGGTAGTATCCATGCCCTGAAGCTATTTAGAAAGGCTTTACAGGTTCGGGGCAGATTAGTCGAGGAGTTGTTTGAAATACAACTGAACTGGACTCGAGTCGTATATCCAACCTCATCACCGGACTGACCGTCGCTAACGCCGCCAAATTGGGACCACTGGGCCTTGTTTACTGCGTAATTTAGGAGAACGAACTAGACCCCCAGAGCGTGCCCCGCGGGGAATAAAGTGCTGGGACTGTTACACCGAGGGGTCTGATCTATCGAGCTAATGCAGAACATGGATTTGAAGATCGGACTGATTGCCAATTTGCCTCCGGCCTCAGCTGGCGCGGATCACACCGACTGTATATGCAACGAGAACAAACCATGGAGGCGTCCTTTTAAAGCAAATTAATTGGCCATGTACCATAGGCTTGGTTCAAGCTGCGGAGGCGGCTCCGGCTGGCCGACGAACGCGGCAGCGTCTGATGGGATGACCACATTACCTCAGGCACTAAGGCTCTGGGCATGGTAGGCATGGTAGTCATCCAGTTGAGTGCGAATGATATGCCTATGGGCGGCGGATATACCCGTCAGAGCTCTGAATCGCAGCACACAACCAGGGCTGGCTCCGGGTCCTCAGGGCTATGTTGCAGGAGGAGACAAACACAACGCAGTTCGCGCTGACCGTCTGCGTGTCTTTGAATGTACTTAGAGTGGTACTCTCGTTTTGCAGGGCGAAATCGGGCTGACGGATCCCGCGACGTAGTCCTGCTCCCTGGGGGGATCAATTTTGCGCAGGCTGCACCGTTGATGTGCGCTGGTGGCTGCACGGACAACGTCGAAGCAACGGAGAGAAGATATCCATGTCTTATACAAGGCCCTCAAGTTCCTTGTGCCGGTACCCATGTACCTAGCTGAACACAAGGGTTCTTGTCTTCTAAACCACAGAGCAGAGTAGTTCTTGCTGGTATCAAGATGATACTACGTCCACGACTTCCAAGGTTGATTCTTGGTCTACCTACTATGGATGAAATTCCACCCTGCAGTTTAGGTAGGCCCCTGCCTATGAAAGGTCCTGGCCCTACTTCTGAGATTCTCTACAGCAGAACAGCCTGTTGGCCTTCCTTATTATGGCATGCCCTGTAACCAGAATACAACTGTGCTTTCCTCGTTCACGATATGCCTAGGCAACAATGGCAAGAGGCCCCAGGCTGCCTAAATACTAACCTCAAGTGCTCTAGCGCTCGGCTCCGACAGCCGACCAGGGTGTGATTCGAGCAATGGATGCCCAATACAAGACCGCCACCAGTGCCACCTGTGAACAGTCTGACTTCTGAATCTTGCCTACTGGTAATAACTGAATAATCCGACGCAGCAATGCAATGGCAACGTACCTTTGACTCCACCCCAGTGGTGCCCGAAGACCCCTTCTTCGAAGCCTTCCGCGACGCCTGCGAGTCCGGCGACATGCCAGCCGTCCAAGAAGCCATTGCCAGCGGGCGCTTAACTGTCGAAGAGCTTGACAAGGGGCTCAAGCTCGCAACATTAATGCGGTATCTTGAAATTGTAACAGCTCTGTTTAACACCGGCGCCCGAGTCACACCCGAGACAACACTCCATGTCCCCGGAGCAAAGGGACAGCAAGACCCACGCATCGTGCGCCTCTTTCTCGACCGGGGCATGGACCCCAACGCAACGCACTCCACGCTGATCATGAAGCCGAGGCGCTCCACGTCCAGCACCCCTACTCCGCTGAGGCGCTCCGAGGGCGAGCCCAACCTCCCGTATGTTCATGTTCATGTTCATGTTTGTCCGGCAGCACAGAGGACTCCAGCTTCTCGTCCGCGTCGAGCCATCGACTGACTCAGGCAAATAGCATGTTCCGCAATCTCGAATGTGTTGCTCTGCTGCTCGAAGCCGGCGCAGACCCCAATCGCCGCGGGCCCAGGGGAATCCCGGCCCTCGGCTACGCGATCATGCGCGCCCGGGAGCCAGACACTACCCTACTCGACCTCTACATCGCACACGGCGCGAGGCTAGAACCGAATCTACTCTGCTACGCTGTGCGTCCGCGCATACGGCAGAGCGAGTTTATGACCCGATTCCTGCTGGATAGGGGCTTAGATCCGAATGCTGCCTTCGACGACGAGTGGGGCACGCCTCTGCACTGTGCTGCGGCAACTGGCAAAGTCAATCTCGTCAAGATGCTGTTGGAGGCTGGCGCGAACCCCACTGCGATACCGGCTGAAAGCTATAAACTCGGGAGAGTGACGCCCGCGCAGGCTGTTGAGAAGAGGATGGAGCGTGGAAGGTGCCGCGAGGGGATCTCGATACTTGGGCTTTTGAAGGCTTATACGCCCAAGACTAAACTCTAGGTAGCTGGAGCTACAGTGTAGTTAAGAAAGCGGGAATAGAATGCAGACTAGTATAAACAACAAAAAACATATAACAACTGTCCAAGGTTATTTAAACAGTTTACTGCTCAATCAAATGCTGTCACATGTTGAGGAGTTTCCAGATTGATGTTCTGATAAAAGATTGTAGCCGTATCCTTTGACTATCATAGGGCAATTAAGGCAAATTGTAGCGTGTAGATAGACATTAGGCGGTCCCATGTTGTAGGTGCTCCAGGGCTGGAAGTAGGTACATCCCAAGGTATGATAAATGCTCTGAGCAAGTTCAAGTTACATGAATAAATATTATTGCGTTAGTAGCGCTTCTAATGGCACCGAAACTAAGATTGGAAAAGAGAAGATACAGGGGATGTATGCAATAGCAATGGAGCCGTCGGTCACGTAGGTGCAGGCGGTTGCCTTGGACTTAGGCTGTCCAGGTGCATTTGGTGTCTTCGGTGTTGCAGGTTCGTCTCACGTTTGTTAGGGTCCAGCGGGGGGACGCGGATGTACCTGGGGCGGGCGCGGCTAGGACGCTGGTGCTGCAGGCAGCGATGGTGGCATGGAGGTAAGTTGTAAGAGAGAAATGCATGGCTATGCAGGTGGTGAGGAGTGTGCGCTTGAATAGGGGCGGCTGATAGAGTTATGGTGGTTATGTTATGGTAGCACGGAGCTTCTGGTCGTAGGCTAGGTAGTAGATCTCAAAGGTATGTAAATAGGTATGATTGCATCAGACCTTCATAACATCGAAACATGGACAAAGACGGCTATTCCAGCTTATGACAGGCTTAGTAGCTCCCTACAGATGATTCAAGCAGTGAGACCCTCGAGGTAACTCCTGATAATGATATTCAGTGACAAAGGGCCTGTATAAGCCTTCTCAAGTTGTCAACCATACTGGTGCTGATAAGGGGCAGTGGACGTGAGGGCTGGCCCGCCCGTAGCCCTACATCGAGTCGGTCTTTCCCACCGGGGCTGGCGCTACTCCTCCCCCTCGCTCTTCTTTTCTTCACTCTCCTCCTTCCCATCCTCATTTTGTTGATCGTCGTCGCTGTCATCCTCAACCTTCATCCTTTTCAAGACCTTCCTCAGGCAGCGCAAATGCTTATCCTCGCGCAGAGCTGGTGGACCATTCTCATAGACCCTCAACACATGCGAGTTCCGCTCCTCCGCTTGGTCTAGCATCCTCTCAATAGTCTCAGCAAGGTCCTCCTCAAGCTTCTTGTCACCCGCTTCTGCTGCCTCTTCCTTGATCTCACTCAGACGCTTAACCCAGAAGATCCATCTCCAGGGCGTAAACCCGCTCTGCGGCTGCTGCGCTACCTCCCACTCTTTGAATCCCCCTCCTCCGCGTCCGATGACATTTGGACAGTCATTCCACGAGACATCCGCGAGTTGGACAAGGTTATCCCCAGCCTCATCAATCCACGCGTGGACTGATGGCAGCAGGGTTGCGATGGTGAGTCTGTCCATCGTGCGGATTGGGTCTTCGTCCTCGGAGTCGAACTCGCTGCGGAGCTCTCGTCCTCCATTCTCCAAAGTAGCGCGGAACAGAAACAGGGCAATCTGGCACAGCCGGTCCTTGCAGATGCGGGTCGATGCCAGTTTGGCGAGAAAGGTGGACAGGTTAACCCGCTGGGATACAGACATCGTGACGAACCCGTTGATCCAGAAATCGACCATGTCGGACACAAAAAATGGCAGGTCGTTCCACAGTGTGCCGTCCTTGGTCCTTGCGACATCGACGCCGAGAACTCCCCTCACTGGTCTCGAAAGCGGGCCTTTGCCCTTGATGCGCAGGATATCGAGAACCATCGAATCGTGCTCGGGGCTTTTGTGCGACAGGTATCTGCCCGCTTGATAGTAGACATGCCACAGATCATGCAAATACTGTTCCAGGAAGTCCACTCCGTCGCCGACACCGCAGTATCGGTGGGTGGTGATCCATGTCCTGTTGCCGGCGACCGATCGGAGCTCACTGATATTTCCCTGAGCCGCGAGTTGACGGATCTCCTCCCAGTCCAAACCGACAAGATTCATGGGGTCTTGCTCGCTGCCTCCTCCAGGTAGTGAGACCAGCAGGGACTCCGGGTGGTGCTGTATATTGCGCTGATGGTAGTATGGCATTTCGCAGGAGACGGATTATAAAGAAGATATGAATTGGATGATTATATCGATCATGAACAGCGAGACTGAACAACAAAGCTCATGAGCTTTTATACCGCTATATCGCTCAGAGGCCACTGCCCCTGAGCAGACCGCTGTCTAGGCTGCACTGTTTGGTGGTAATCCATTGGCTGTTGCACAAAGAACTGGAATGACGCTTTGGCCTCGGGCCCCAAAATTGAGGTTGTACAAGGCCGCGCCATTGGGCATCTTCCAGCCACTAGATTATCGAGTCTGCGCGCTATAACATGCAGGATCGCTCGGCAGTCGGCACTCTCCAAGGGCTCTCCACGGGAATTGACGGTCCGATCCAAGGGCTTACTCCATACGCACCTTAGGAAGGCATGAATGCTGCTCCGTACGCCCGCAATACTGCATTGACCCAATCCCAATCCCAATTGCAAAGAGCTACTTATGTAAAAAGCAGCGAGGAAACCAATTTATTCTGTCTTGCTCGATCAGCAATTGTTGAAAGTGCTGAAGTATCAAGCAAATAATGCTAGGTAGTAAACGAGCGTTGCGTGACAGTCACTTAGAGCTTCATACCAAAGCCAAATAACAAAGAAAAGGCTCTGATGTTGAATCGAGCAGCTTCGCACCCCCTTGACTAATAGTCTAATGTTGAATTGTCCACTCCCATACTTTGTCCGCCATCAAAGTACGTTGTTCGATGCCACATCTCCTCATCAAGGCTTAGGCTTGTCACACACAACCTTGCGCGTAATTGATTCATATGTACAATAATGATGATCACTGGGGCACTACATTTGGAAAGCCGCGAATTCAGCCACTCAAGGTCCAATCAACATGTTTCCGGGGCGGTTAGTTACGTACCCTCTTGTTGGCAAACTTGGTCTGGCACTTCACGTAATTGGTTTTGCCGTTCATCTTGAAAACGCATTCGTTCTTCTTCCAGAAGCATTCCTAATGACACGGAGATAAGATATTAGCATCCATTGCATTAGGTTCTTGCCGGCCAAGGTTGGGGGTGAGAATTGAGGGTGGGAATTGAGGGTCCGGGGTCTAAGGGCTAAGCACTCACGCCAGGGAATACTCCCAGCGCGGCGTTCTCAGCTGGGGCTGGGGCTGGGGCTGCAGCCCGTGCGTCAAGATCGTTTTCGCTCTCCTCGCTTTCCACTTCGACTTCGGCGGCTGCAGTCCGGGCTTCGAGGCTCTCGGGGCCGATGATGTCCGAGGCAGCGCGGGCGCTGAGAGCATTCGCCGGATCCGGGTTGGCTGGGCTGGCTAGTGCTCCGAGTGCGGCGGAGAGAAACAGGCTGGCTGTGGCGAGGGAGATGAGCTGCATGGTGGGCGGGTGATTGACTTGGCGTGATGAAGTTTCAGAGATGTGGAATGAGTGAACTGGGTATGGTACTTGAGAAGGAGACGTTGGATGCGATGGGATGGGATGAGTATGGATGGAAAGGGTTGGGGTGTCCGCTGGCGCCCTTTTATAATCTTTTGGGTCGTCGACTCTAGTGTTGTTACTTTCTTTCTCCTACTCCTCCTCTTCTTTCCTTTTGCTTCGTTGCGCTGGTAGGGGAGCGAGACTTGACGACCTGCTGTCCCCCGAGTTTCATCCAGTGCAACTCATCGGATTGGGCTTGAGGGGATTTCGTTCATTTCCCTAGAAAGGAAGGAGGAAGGTCACGCCCCGGGTGAGGAAGATGTTTGTAATTGACATTTAGGCTGCATGTATCTGTGCTGTTGCTGGCAGGCGCGTTAAGACCTTGCCTGCACGTTGTGGATTGTTTGCTGGAAAGTTGGGATCACATGAGGCCAGAGGCAAACGTAGTATAGGGCAGTATGCATGAGGATTGAGATGATATAAACAGACTCGAAATGTGAGTAGGCTCCTCTCCACACTCGCTGCTTTTTCCCTGCCCTTATTGGGTGGATGATTCACCTAAATGTGCACAGGCGTTGACATTTCAATTTCACTCCACTGCTCCCGTGCCTTTCACGGTGATAGTATAGTTTTGGTTTTCAGCTCTCTGAATGCCAGTCATCTTTAGATCGCGTGGCTTCATCGACCTCAGAGTGCCGATACTGCCGATAGGAGATGGATTATGGACAGGCAAATCAAGCTTTCCCAGTCGGGGTATCTTTAACCCCAGGTGTGCACGGGTTGCGATCTGGCAACATCGTACCTAGCCCCATACTGATACCCCTTAACTCTGCACTCCGCATCGGCATAGGGCTAACTGCGCCAAGGTCGTACAAGCCTCGCCAGCCGCTGCATGGGTCCGGCAAGGCCCGCCCGGCAACCCCGCTGATCACCCTGCTGACCCATCGATCAAGACGGGACTCAGGTACACCGGACAGCTCAGCTGGATGGACAACAATTGATCACAACGGAAGGCAATTAATGGTCATTCTACCCAGGCGCGGGTCAAGACTTCCCACGGTGGCTACACCGGACAGCGGTAGAACATACCGTACTGCGATAAATCTTTCCACTTTTCGCTTTTGCGCCCATTAAGGTTGTACAACCCCCGCATTAGGCGGGCCTGCAGCCGTATCCAATGGATGGATGTTTGCTTTTCTATCTAGGCAGCAGCGTCCAGTAGTCTAGTTGAGCACCTGCAGCTCCAGCCTGACACTCACAAAGCAGGTAGGACCTCCAATTCCAAATAGATGGTACGCGGGATCACGCCCATGACTGGGACCATGAACCAGGAATGTGCACCGCAGGCCGGGGCCCCAGGATCTCGCGGGGAATCCTGCTTGAGCTTGAACTTGTTACACTACACCACGGAGCCGCTGCAAGTGAGTGCTGATCAGCCCTAGGTTGGGACCTGGGACTACCTAGCCATACCGAGTACTTTGGACAAATAATCACATCTGCGGCGAGAATATAAGACCATTAACCAATACGGTAGTGCAATCACATATCCGGCTAGGTGGGCGGCTGGCGCGAGAGCTATACCTACCCCGGCATAAATGAACTGGAACCCGACTTAGAGGACGACTCGTGTACCCAAGGCTGAATCGGTAAACATCCAGGTAAGGTTGACATTGGGAACCATGGACCGTTGGTCTAATTGGGACTGGAGGTCTTCAGATTGATGAGTCTGTGTTTAGATAGATGTCCATACTTCCAATGAGTGTTATATTCCTAGAATCTTGTCCCAGTTATTAGGCACTGGGGTCTGTCATTTAGATTAAAGCTCAGCCGTAAGGGGCATAGACGAGCATTTGAGCCTAACTCAGCTGCGTTTCTCTGTCCATTCGAATCAGACGCTGGCGACTTTACCCGACTGTAATCTCCATGGTATTTTCCCTTCTAACGAAGCCTCGAATGCACGATGATTTCGACATACGCCAGCACCTGACTGAAAGAGAATTTTAAGGACTTGCCTGCCACTTGAAGAATTGTGCTACGGACATTTTAAGATGTGGAACGAGCACGAGAGAAACCAAGAACTCATTTGGTGCTTGGTATATCGAATACTTGAATCAAAGAGAGCCCACCCAGCGACCTCGAGAGATATTGATGATGAATAGATAACAGTTTGGATTAAACTTCCAACATAACAAGGCACAACCTGATATTTTCAAAAAGAATACCATCGAGAAAAGATCAAACGAAAAGCATTTGCCAACATCTTCTTCCCTCAAGGCAAAGCAGCAGGCGTATAACTCTGATCCGGCTTGACAACCTTCCCCCCGTCAAGCTGCTTATCCGTATACGCGGGCCAAACAATCTGGCGCGCAACATTATCAACAACAGAAAGCGTCGTGAATCCCGCATCGGGACCAAACTGCCCGCTCCAGCCGGAGGTGATTGTGAAGTCGCCGCAGTTCGATGGGCCGCCGTTGACCTCGGAGCCGTTGACGACGTACGTGCAGTCGGCGGACTTGGAGGGGGTGTCGATGCCGAAGGTCCAGGTGCATTTTGTGTCGGCGGCGTTGCAGACGCGCTTGAGGGAGGTGATGGTCCATTGGGTGTTGGAGACCATCATGGATTTTGCGGCGGAGGGGGCGGCGAGGGCGCCGGTGCCCATGCTGGCGAGGGTGAGGGCGAGGGTTGTGAGGGTGAACTTCATTGTTGCGGTGTGGTTTGGTTGGAGGGGGTTGTAGATTGTAGATTGTTTTGTATGGAAGTTTGGAGAGTTGATGATGAATTAGATGGATATTAAGCTGGGAGGATGCCTGTATTTATAGGTTTCTTCAGCGAATGATCTGCCCCTTTCTCTACTCCGAGAGTAACATGATGTCTTATGACTTCAGTCCTCCAATTCAAGAATAGAACCTGTATGAAAAAGCGGAGAGTGACATATGGATGGTTGCATCCATCCCCGCAGCGGAGCCCCAGCGGGCAAGCCCTAAGCAGTGCTAAAATTGGCAGTGTAGCTCATGTAAATGGCCATGTCTCACTCTGTCCTAAGACATCCATCGTCAGACTGACATTCGCATTCCTCGGATCTCTCGGGCTCCGATTACAGAGTATTCCATGATTCCATCCCCAAGGTTCCGATGGCTGTGTAGATCCCCCATCACCTGATGCAGACAGTGAGACCCTCTAACCAGGTCCGGCAACAAGGGGCGCTCGGCGCTGTGGGGGTGGCTATATTAACTTTCCACCGCTGAGGACTGGGCGCCTCGGCTATAGTAGTGCTAGATTGGCCTCTAAGACATGCTGGCACATGGCCTATTAGATCCCTGCGATCGTGCAGATGGTGGGCATCGGACCCACGCCTGCATTGCTGCCTGCATGATTGTGATGAGGTCAGACTGATTTGGCACTAGCACTGTAGACTACTCCGTAGTTCCGAGTATATTTGTCCGGGCGTCAGATAATCAGATAATTGTCCATGGCAAGCATTTGTATGTCCGCTCTTTAGCGACAAGGGGCGCCCGAGAAGCTACCCTAGCCCTAGGTCAAATTTGCTGCGACCTAGCTGGAGGGCTCCCGCCCACATATGGTATTTCCAGGATGATATGGTACGCGAATTATTCTATTCTATCCGACTCCCACCGGGCTTGAAATATGGCTAAAGGGTCGTCTAAAGCCTTCGGGTGACGGCTGAGCCCGTGCCCTAGGTACCTTGGACGAAACCGTCTAGAATGACGGGGTTTTTAACGGCATTGCGCATCATCGTTTCTTTTTCATAATTCCAATGGAGTATTCGGATGGGATTCTATTTGCTGTTGAAGTCTAAGTTGGGGAGGCACTCTGGACTGATTCATGCTTGGACTGTCGACAAGCAACGGTCAACACGTCTAGGTACCCTACCATATTCACTCAAGTATTATGTCCGTAGGAAAATCCCAAGACAAAGCGTGCTCAAGAAAAAGGAAGAAATCCCTGGTGGACTGGACGATCTATACAGCATCTGGAGAGTATAATGTCTAGCCGCTGATGTGGTGGCGCAAAGCTTGTAGGTACCATAGGTATGCTATGGAGAAGTTGAATTCGTCGGTTCATAGCTTCACTAATCTCCCAATGACCATACCGAGGCCTGTACTGAACAAGTCATGGTCTATGCAGCTTCGCAAATGGTCTTCGAGGGATATATGTACAGTGGTTCTGGACAGACAGCGCAGCGGGAGTACCATACCATAGTATCTAGGTAGCAATATCAAGACATTATTATGAAGGTACAGCAGAGCAAGAGACGTGCTGCTATATATAAAACATAAAATCTCATATTGAGATAACTTATGCACCCCGTACTTCAGGCCTCGGCAACACATGAGCAGAGACTATACCAAGTATTTGCTAGGTTGCACTCATTATTGATACAGTAGACCTTTCACCAACTAACTGAGGTCATATCCCACACCCAAACTCCCGTCCATTAACCCTAAGCATCAGGAACGACCGTCTCATTCGTCGTCTGAATCAACACCCTCCGATACGTCGTCAGCGGAATGGCCCCGTTATCGCGCACCTCCAGGACCAAATGCACCAGCCAACAGCCCGAGGGATTCTCGCCCTTGCCATTGCAGCTCTGGTCCGCCGTCGGGATCTGCACATTTACGCGCTCCCCCTTGCCCTCGGCCACCAGCCCGAGTGCAGGCACCTGCCCGGCAACATTCCAGTCGTCCGAGCCAGGCTCCTTGTACTGCCACCAGCTATACGCCAGCTCGTCGCCGTCCGGGTCGTACGTGCCCTTTGCATCCAGCGTCACGGTGGATCCCGTTGAAGCTGTGAGACTGAACGGGGCCAGCGCCGTGCTCCCGTTTACCGAGACGACGGGGTGGTGGTTCTGCTTCTGGTTCCGCGTGGCATTCGCGGCAGGGAGCGTCCACTGCATGCGGGCGGCAAAGTCATTCTGGTAGGCGTCGCGCCAGCGCCAGATGGTGGCCTGGTTCGACGTGAAGGTGCGGTTGTTCAGGCCGCGCACGCGGTCCGCGGCGTCGCTGTAGTGGTTGAAGTTGGGAGTCAGCGCAGTCGACGGGTCAACCTTCGTATACCGGCCGCCCCACGACCCATACCCGGGGTGTTCTGGATCGCCCAGCCCGTTCTGGACCAGGTACAGGAACGTCGGGGTGTCGCCTTCCATGATGTACTTGTAGTCCGGGTACGCGGTGGCGCCGTACGGGCCGATCTGGATGTTCTCGCGCAGCCACGTGTGCGAGACGGTGGTGGCGTTGGGCCCGCCCTCGTCGACGCCGTAGTACGACTCGCCGGAAATGCCGATCCACGCGGCCAGCCCGTACTGGTTCCAGCCGTGGGTTGAGGAGATGTAGAAGATGTCTGGGTAGGAGCGGCGGATCCAGGCGCCTGTGTCGTCTTGGTCGGAGATGGCGTAGACGCGGAGGCGCGAGCGTAGGGTTGCGGCGGTTTTGGCGGGGAAAGTGGCGTGGATCTTGTAGAGGACTTGGGCGAGGACGTTGGTGCCGCCCCAGGCCAGGACCCAGAGGGGTTGGGTGGAGGGGGTTTGGAGGCGCTCAAGGAGCAGCTTTCCGCCGTCGCTGAGGGTGATGTTCTCCCCGACGGCTCTCATGCCGTAGGTCTGGTTGCGTTAGCTCGGACATACGGTAAGCTTAGGGGGTTGTCTCACCTCGGCTCCCTTACGCAGGATGCTCCGGAAGTAGTCCGCGGAGGGATAAAGAGCGTCAGGAGGAGCGTGCTGGTTGAGGTCTGCCGTGACGTTGCCGTATGCGTTGATCACCTGCAGCATGTCCTCCGGGTGGACCTCATCGCGTAGCCAGGTGGATGTCGACGCAACGAGACCCTCGGTCTGGAATTGGTTGGAGTAGAGGAGGTAGCGCGTTAGCGATTGCTGGTCGTCAGGTTCGTTGGAGATATCGGAGAGGATGAACACGCGCGGCTTGGTAGGGTAGGAGAGGAGCCTGGATGGGTCAACGGCCTCGCAGAGAACCTGCACGGCCAACGTCCAGAGGACGGCCAATCTGAGCACCGACGCTGCCATGGTGGATTCGGTGTTGATGAAGAGCAATACCTATGGTAATGTATTCGGCCAGGACCGGCCATTTATAGCATTGCACACCACGGCTCGGATCCGGGCCAAGTTCAAGGGATCCTGCGTCATCGCCAGTCCGAGGAATCCGAGATCCCGCAATTCTGCACAGCAATCGGCAGTTACCCGGGGACCGGAGACGGTAGACTGGAGAAAGCTGGAGTGTGGAGGCCTGCTAAATGGCTAAACGCTTCTCCGGAGCAGAGCTTCGCCAGCCTAGGAAGGCGTAGCCACTCTTACCTCTTCCGGGGAAGCCCTCCGATTAATCAGCGGAAGTTGATTACGGTGGTACGAGGTTGAATACCTTGTGCTTTTTTTGCCATAAGTGAAAAAGACGATATACGCACCGCACCGGCTAGGGCGTCCCAACCTTGATAATGCAAGTTTATGCTCAAAGTAGGTGACATGGAGACAGACCCGACCAGCTCCTCCAGCCAACTCCTAGCAAGAGTAGATCATGTATTCTGTTCGGTCTTACACCAATGATATCCAATGCCAACCCGTCTCGCAGATGCGTGCCTCGGACACCACCACACCTCTCCCAAAAACAAAAACAAAAACATACAACAGCTGGGATTCGCATGTGGTCACCCACCATACTACTAACCAGCCGGCGTGTGGTTTAAGTACGGCTGAGCGGACGGGAAGCCCTGTTCTCCACACCCTATGGTCGTATGTGCTGGTGTATATCAAAGCAGTTTTCATATAGAAAGCGATTTGTCAGTATATCAGCTTCATCGATACTTGCTCTCTGCATCCGGAATTCTCCAACGGTGGACCATTCCACCCATTAACCTAGGTAGGTACCCCCTTCTGTTGGAGCGGAGGTTTCTCCCGTGAAAGTCCCCTACCTAAGATTCACGCCACCCACCAGCTTCAACACCTGCAGCAACAGGACCCTACGACTGCTACCTCCATCATCGCCAATTCCAACCCTTCGAAATGACCACCCGCGGAAGACCACCCGTCAGTCTGCGCCCAACCACACCCCCAGACCCAACACTTGCAACCCGCCCAGTCCCTAGGACCCGCACCTTCACCCCACACTCCTATGGCCCCGGCGCAGCACCCAACATCAAAGACCTCGTGCGCAATCTCAACCAAGTCCGCGCAGACTCAGACCCAGCAACCTATCTAAACCCCCTGGACGCACAGTATTCCCACATCCTTCCAGACGGAATCCACCAGCTCCTCAAAGAGATCATAGCCGACGAGACCATATTCACCGAGACCGACGAGATCATCAGCATCGACCCAACATGGGGCTTCTACGCCTTCCTCGTCGACTATGACGCCGACACACTGCGCAAGATCCCCCTAGCAATGCACAACCTGGTCGAGGCAACCCGCCGCACCATCCGGGCCCAGTCCACCACCGCATACGCGGACGAAGCGCTCCGCCGGTTCAAGCTCGACGTCGTGCAGGATGAAGCCGCACTCGCGGACGCCTCGGCCGATCGCATCCGCGAGGAATTCAGGGCACATCTGCGCGGAGTGCGCCAGCTCGGTGACGACGGGGTGATCCGCGGCGCGGCGCGCAATTACGCGTGCTTGGTGCTTGATCGGGCGGTGGTGTTGATGTTGGCAGACCTGGCACCTGCATTTTCGGAGGACCTGAGGGGGGATTGGCGGGCGTTGCGTGGGAAGACGATTCCGCTTGTGGATGCGTGGTGGGAGCGGCCGGCGGCGAATGGCTCGGCTTATAGGGGCGTGGATTGTTGTTCCGTCCCTCGCGTACTTGTATAGGGAACTCTCGACGGGTGCGAGTAGCGGTGCGATGCGGGATTTGTGGCCGCTGGAGAACTCGCTGGGCGGGCTTGGAGTCTAAGGTAATTAGGGCGTGTTTGGAGCCCTGGAGGAGCGACTGGAGAATCCATCTCCGAGTGTTAGCCAAAGGTGGAGTTCTTATTTGTTAACGCCTCCACATGGCGGGTTAGTATAGAAAAGTAAGGCAAATAATACCTTACTATTCTAATAAAAAAGTTAGGCTATTAAAAAAATTTAAAGGCTTAAAATATTTATATAAACCCCTAGTTAGTTTTAACTTTTAAAAATATAATTTAATTTTTTTATTTTTTTATAGTATTTAATAAATAATTCTATTACTTAATATAATAAATAAAGGGCCTTATAATTATAAGCCTAAATATTAACTTAATAATTTAGCTTGTTAAATTTTTATCTTTTTTAAATATTTTAAAATTATTTATACCTTTAAATATATTTTTTAAAGGTATATTAAGCCCTTTTTTATTAATTACTTATATTATTAAATTAAAATAAATATTAATTAATCTTTATCTTTTACACTTGCTTTAAAAATTATTATAAGCTTTACTAATAATATTATAAGTATAAAAGTTATTTTTAAATTTAAAAATAACTAGCTAGCTTAGTATAGCTAGATTTTTTACTTTATTTAAGTAACAAAAATTTAAAAGTTTTTTTTTAATTTTTCTATTTCAAGTTACCTTTTAAAAATACAAATAAAAATTTTTTAAAATATATAATAAATACTAGCTTAGTACTAAGTATTATTATATAGAGTTTATAAAATAAATAAAGCTATTTGAAAAATAATTACTATTTTAATTTAATAAATTATTATAAATAAACTTATTATAAAGGTTTTAGTTAAAATAAAATAATAATTTACTTTTATATAAGGTCCTTGGCCTTAGGGATTTGCAAATAATATAATAAGGTATAATATATACTTAAAAAAAAGGTTTATAAAATATAATTTTAAAAAAAAAATAAAAATACTAAAATTAATATTAAGGTTTAAATCTTTAGCCTTGCAAAGGCTAAATATTTTTAGTATATATTAAGTTAGTACTTAAGGCTAACTTAACTATTTATAAATAAAGCTATTTATAAATATTTTAAAGTCTTATAAAAGAGCTATATATAATATAATAAGTCTTATAATTACCCCTTTTTTTTATGGCCTAAGTTTTTTAAGGCCTTATAAATAAATAAAAATATATAATTTATAAAATATTCTTAAAAAGCCCCTGCTAGTGTAGTGGGGTTGCACCCTAATATTAATTCCTATAGTACTTATAGCCTTGCAATCTATTTCCTGTACCTAGTTACTTATTTACCTTAATATATATATTTTCTTTTTTATTATTATCCTAACCTATATTACGTACTGTCCAGCCCTATGCTACCACCATTATTTGGCTTCCTTAGCTCCCATGCTCCAGTACTGCCCCTCCACACTAGTATATAAAAAACCTTTATTAAAAAATCCTTTGTTATATATAATAAAAAAAGGTATATTTTACCTGTACCTATACTTTATATAGCTAAAATTTTACTAGTATTTTCTTTAAAAATATTAGGCCTTATTTCGCGGAGTCCCTTTTTAATAGTATTAAGATTTTTTATAAAATATACGCATGCTTGTAAATATTATTAATTTTTTATAAATATAATTATTTAAAATCTATAGTTATTTAAATATCCCAAGCCTTTATAAAAATATACTAGCTATACTTTATTTTTTTAACTAAACTTTATTTTATTTATTTTTTTATAATTTTTTAAAAAAATTAAAATCCATGGTGTTTTTACCTTTTTATTAATTATAGTTACCTTTAATATTTATAAAATATTATTATTTTATATTTTTTTAGTAGGCTTAATATTAAAACTCCTATTTAATTTTTTTATAACTTTTTTATATAATAGCTTTAAGCTTTTTATAAGTATACTTTTTTATTAGCCTTTTTTATTTTTTTTATTATATAAATATATTTTACAAGCTTTTTTTTACTAGCTTGCTAGTTAAAATAGCTTATAAAATTTTTTTATACCTTAAGTAATATAATACATGCTTATATATTTTAAATCTCCTGCTTTTACTATTATTACCATTATGGTGTTGCAACTGCGCAGTGTTGTAATAACACAATCTGGCGGCCTGAGGCCGCCGGGCGGAGGAACTTTAGCGCTAAATTAGCCGCATGCTAAAATAATAGCTAGTTATATAATATATAAAATATTAAGTTTAACTTAAAACTTTAATTTAAAAAATTAGTAATTAGCTTTTACTATAAATATATAATACCTTTTTTATTATAATAATTTATATTTTTTAAGCTTATTATAGTATATAAACATAACTTATAATTTTAATTACTTTTTTTTTAAAAAAAAACTTATTTTATATAATAACTAGGTAATAAACTTAATCCTAAAAAATAGTAAATAATACTTTAAAAAAGTAATTAAAACCCTAACTTAATAATTAACTAATATACCTAAAAAAAATTTATAAACTTTTAACTAAAAAATTTTAAGGGTGCCCCTGTTATTAAACCTTATATTATATAAAAAATATTAAAATATAAAGTGCCTACCCAGGGGCAAGAAAATAAAAATAATAAAAAAATTATTAAAAAATTATAGGTAATATTAAAAGTAATTTTAATAAAAAAAAATTATAGGAGTAAGAACACCATAAAAAATATTAATAAATTTATGCCTAAATTAAAAAGGCATGTTAATAAATTATAAAGGCTAAAATTAATTAATAAATATATAATATACTTATTTAATTTATTAAGTAATTAATAATTTTTTATTAAATAAACTTTAATAACCTTATAATTCTAAAGGAAACTATTAAAAGGGTTATAATAATAATAATATAACTTAAAAAAACTTTTTAAAAAAGTTACTATTTATAAAACTATATTAAGTAAATAATATTAAAAAATTTAATAATTAAAAGTTAAATATAAAAACATACTTTAAAACCTTCCTAACCTACTACTTAAATAATAACTATAAAATATTTTAATTTATTAAATTTTTAGCAAAAAACTGCAGGCAGGAATAGTTTAATATTTATAAAGTAAAAATTATATTTACTTAAAAAAATTTTTTTAATATACTAATTAAAATAATTAATAATAAAATAGTGCTAGTTAATAACTTACTAATTAAGTAGGGTAATATAAAGTAGTAACTATAATAAATTATTAAGTAATTTATATAATTATTAAACTAAATTAAGAAATACTTACCCTATAAGTATAATAATAATTAGTACTAAAAATACCTATACTAAAAAATCTTAAAAAATATATAAAAAAAGTTTTTTATTTATAAATACCAAGAACCAAAGCACTATAATAATTATATATTATACTTAATAAATATTAAAAATAACATGCCTAAGTAAAAAAAAATTATTATAAAAAAAGGTTTTTTAACTAAACTTGCACAAGGCTATCAGTAACTAAAATTAAGGCACTTTTTATTACTAAAAAAATATAAACTAAATACTAGTATAAAATAACCTAATAATTTAAATAATTTTTTATTTATAAAAAAGCTATACCTAGGTAAATACCTAAACTATAATTATATTAAATATTTTAAGTAATATTACTAGTTACTAAGTAAAGGTTAAAAAAACGCCTTTATAATAGCAATTTTTAAGTAAATTTAATAATATAAAAAATATAAAATTTTAAAGCTTTACGCGGTATAAGCTTTAAAAATTTATATAAAATAAAAAAATACACCGCGGGCCTAGGTAATTTAAGTAAAAATAAAAAAAAAATAAAAAAAAATAATATATAAGGGTTTTTATTAATTTTAAAGTAAAAGTAAATTTTATAAACTAGTGCTAAATAAAGTCCTACTTAATATAAAGTAAAGGGCTAGCCTATAAAATACACGTAATTAATAACTATATAATAATATTTTATAAAAAATATATACTTATAGTTTATACTAAAGATTTTACGCGTAATATATAGTATTATTAATAAAACTTTAAAATTATTAATATTAATAATTATAATATAATTTTAGGGTTTTTATGGCTATTAGTTATAATACCTATTTTAAATTAATAAATTAATAAGTAAATATATAATTAAAAAGTAAAATATAATTTTAAATACTTATAATATATAATAATAATATAAAAATATACTATAAAAATTATTACAGGAGTTAAAGTACTCTAAGTATAAATTTTTAAATAAAAAAACTATGTTATAATATACCTTAATAAGGCAAAGGTTAAAAAAATCCTGCTATTTAAATAATATTATAAATATATAAATATATTTTTTAAAATAAAGGTAAATATTCTTATATTTTATTATTTTTATAATTATATAATTAAGTTATAACCTAGTGCTAAGCCTTTAAGTAAGTATATTTACTTATTATTTTTAAAAAAGCTTAAGGTTTTATATAAATATATTAAAAAAGCCCTTAAAAAAAGTTAAATATATTTATTAAAAAGCCCTGCGGGAGCTTTAATATTATTTATATTAAAAAAAA